GAGGGGAGGGTGTAATGCCTCCATGGGAGGGTGGCGGATGGTGGGGGAAAGAATGGGGATGCGAAAGGAAACGGGTGGTTGGGAATTGGGGCACTGTGAGGGGCATAGAGGTGTTGCTTCGCTAGGCAACAGTCAGAAACGGCTGTCTCCCCTCGGGCCAATCTCCTCACCACTCTTTACCCATCCCCTTCACCCCGGCCCAGTCCCCATCAGGTACTCTCCCCGCCACCTCCCGTCTTTCCGCGACTCCCCTGCTCCCCCCGCCCCCATTATCCAGGCGTGGGACGCGGCGTATGGCCTTTCCGCCAACCTCACCGCGCCTCCCCCTGCCGTCCGCCTCCCCGTCTCCCTCGCTGCTGCAGCCTCCGCCATCACCGCCGCACCCGGCGATGCTGACGTGGCCGTGGGCGCAGAGGGGCGCGTGAGCGTGCCGCCCGCGCCGCATCTGGAGGACTGCGCGAGGGTGACGTGGCGGCGCGCGCAGGCGGAGTGGAGATGGGGTGGTAGGCAAGGCGCAGGGGGGGAAATGAGCGCACCTGCATGGGCGCAAGTGAAGGAAGGGGGGCAGCAGGGGCCCCTTCCGCCATGGGTGAGCGGGGAGGGAGGGAGGAAATGAGGGAGGGTGGGTGGCGTAGGGGTGTCATAATACCACTTGGTGCCAATTCCCTCCTATCTCCTTGTGCACACACTATCCCCGTCCCGTCACGCCAGCAACCACTCCTCCAAGTCTCTGTTGCCGTCTCTCTCCCCCAGTTCACCTCACCCCCACACCCCCTCCCGGTTTCCCCTCTCTCATCAGATCCGCGGGGCGGACGAGGACAACCTGGCGCTCACGCGCATCGCCCAGACCGACCTCTGGCTGCACCAGTTCCCCCCCACCTGCTCCCCCTCCTCCCCCTCCTCATCCTCCGCCGCCCCCGTGCGCTTCCTGCTGGTGGAGTGGAAGCACCCGCGCGGCCACGGGCTGGGGTCGCAGCTGCACATCATGAGCGCCACGCTCAGCCTCGCCTTCTTCCACGGCCGCGTCCTCGTTCCCGCGCCCGGTTCCTTCTCCCACGCCACTCACAACTCCTGCTCAGGTGTGCAGAAGGTGGGGGAAGGGGGGGAAGGAAGGGGGCCCTTTCACACGGATCCTTAACAGGTTGCCATGCGTGGTGTGGATATTCATCTCTGCCATACATGGTTGCGTGCTCGTGCCAGGCCCTGCCTCCTTCTCCCACGCCTCTCACAAGTCCTGCTCAGGTGTGTGGGCAATGGGGTGGGGGGAGGGAGAAAAGGGGGGCCTCTCATACGGTTCCATAGGAGGTCGCCGTGCACAATGTGGTTGTTACTTTCTGCCGTGCATGCTCTTATTCGCCACGTGCGTTTGTTTCGTTGCCTGCCGCCATAGCAGACAGCCCTGGCTCACCCCACCCCACATGCCATGCCCGTGTGCTGTGCAGGGCCAGACTACGGCTCGCTCTCCTGCTACTTCTTCCCGCTCACCTCCCCTGCCTGCCAGCAGCAAGCGCTCTCGCTGTGGCAGCAGCAGCAGGAGCACGGCCCCTCACACCCCGTCCCACCGCCTGACCCCGGGCCGGCACTGAACGAGCTGCTGCAGTCGGACCTGCCGGTCGTGTTCTTCCCCGGAGTCACTCGCTTCCAGGCCAAGATGGCCAAGGAGGCTTCCGCTGCCTTGTATGTTCTCGCCACCTCTGCCTCTGCTCTCTGCACGCATTCGCACAGCTTCTGCAGTTTGCTCTGCCACTGGTTATTGGCTGTGTTGAGATTGCACTCTCTGGCAGTTCAGTACTTGGCATGTTGTCATTGACTGACATGACACCGCGTTGCACCGCATTGCACACCATGGCAGTCACTGGGGGACGCCATGGGTGCAGAGGCAGGTGTCAACGGAGCTGCTGGGGCGGCGCTTCGATGAGGAGGGGCGGTACCTGCAGGTGTCGTGGTGGCGCTCGCAGTCGCTGCGCTTCATGCTGCGCTGGCCCTCGCGCTACCTCTGCCACCTCCTCAACCGCGCACGCCACGACACCTATGGTTACCGCGTCGCCCTCCGCGTGGCCGCCACTCAAACTGCCCTCCTCACTTCCTCGGATGGCGCTGCTGACAGTGTTTTCAGTGCTGGCACAGATGCAGGGGTTGATGGTGCAGGCGGGATGATGGATGGTGGTGTCGGGAGAGAGCCGTTTATCTTTCGGCCGATAGTGAGCATGCATGTGCGGCAGGGGGACAAGGGCCATGAGATGCTGCTCTTCTCGCTCGCCTCGTATGTGTATCTGGGCCATCACCTGCGGCTGCATGTGCCAAACCTCAAGCATGTCTGGCTCAGCACAGAAATGCAGGTATGTGTGGGGCTTGGGGTTTTTATCAACCCCCCGTTTTCCTTCTGCACACAATTCGGCAGCTTTGGGATTTCCAGCAAAAAAGCACACACATGCACCTTCAATAGTCCATGCATGTGGGTATTCCACATGTCGCTCCATCTCATTCCTCTCCTACTCTTTCCATGTTTGCAGACTGTGGTTGATGAAGCAGTGTCCCGCTTCCAGGACTGGATCTTTCTCTTCACCAAGGTGCAGAGGCAAACAGGAAACAAATTCTTCTATTCGTATGAGCAGTCAGCAGGCCCAGGTGCAGTTACGGCGGCCAGCTTTGTTAACCTCATAATTGCATCACAATGTGATTTTTTTGTTGGAGCTCTAGCCTCTAATTGGAACAGGCTCATCAATGAGCTTAGACTCACAAATGGGCGGTATAGATCAGGTTATCTTGCCCTCAATCATGCAGAGTGGTGAGGTGAGGTGCTACCGTAGTATCATCTATGTGATGTAATGTAGTTAACTCAATATCATGAATGGATCCAACTAACGAAACTACCGTAATTAGGTTTCGTTAGAATCAGTTGTAAATACTCACCGACCCTTCCTTGTAGAGCTGGTAATAGATCCGAGTTGGAGATTATTGGGAAAGTATATCCCAGCTCCTGACTTTCAGGATTCTCTCATATTTAGCCCTAGGTTTACTCAAAAAGCCCCACTTTCTAGAATTTCTCTCACGCGAGGCCCAAAGTATGTTCAAAACTGGTCCTGTGGGGCTAATCTTTCGACACGTGTCTGTCTTCACAGCAGGAACTTTTGACGGGGCAGAAAACATAAAATCCCTAGGGAAACCAGGACACTTTTTCGGGAGGGATCAACCCTAAACACGGGAACCCGCTTGGTGTTTAGGGTTGATCCCTCCCGAAAATGTGTCCTGTTTCCCCAGGAGTATTTTGTTTTTTTGACCCGTCAAAACTTTCTTGGTGCGAAGTGGACACGTGTCGAAATATTTGCCCCGCAGGACCAGTTTTGAACATAATGTGGGCCTCGCGTGAGCGAAATTCCACAAAGGTAGACTTTTTGGGTGAACCTGGAACTGAATTTGAGATATTTTCGAAACTAAGGAGCTGGGATGTACTTTCCCGAGATCATTCGATTGTCATTTTTGGGCTTCCACGATTCTCGGGAGAATCCTCGTGGTGGTGAGGAAGTTGGCTTTTGCCCAGCCCTATCATGATGAGCGCCAAAACGCGCTGACCCCGGTCTTGTGATTGGCCACACGGCATTCGGGCAATCTTTACGAAAACAAATGGCTCCTACCATGCTGGCTTCCCAACAAAATCTGCCGCCACGTCACGAACCTGCCCCTTTTCCCCCTTCTTCGTTATCGATGGTTTAGAACGGTTTCCTTTTCGAGTGGACGGTAGCGATGAGCGGACAAGAAACCAGCGAATGCCAGGTGGTGGTGGTGATGTGACAACACAAGTTCTCCAGGGTCGTTGCAAACACTAGCCTACCTATCACTTCGCTTCGCGTTCCAGCCCGTGTAGGCCTGATGAACTCCCAGCACTGCGGGCAACACCACAAGTCGAGCGTACGCCAGCTGCAGTTACGGCCATAAATCCTCGGTTGATCCGAACAAATCGTTCGCACGTCATCGCAGTTGCAACTGTCGCTCAGCAGACAACGGAGCTTTTTGGCGGCTGATGTGGCACATAGCTGCACCAGCCACCACACGGAACACCACAGCATCAGCCAGCCGCTTTTTGCCCAGCCCCCCCCCCCCCCATCCTCTCCTCTTCTCAAGGCTTTAGAGCACCCACAAATAATATGCCTTGGACCAGGGACTCGTGTGTCGCAGTTATTTTTCTGAACTAAATCAAATTTCTACCAGGTCTAAGGAATCTAGTAGCCTGTTTGTGGAAAAGGATAGCGTAAAGTGGAAGGTTCCGTAGTAACAATATTCGCGTCTTACGCTCGCGCGTTGTGTACCTTCTTTCGAGTGCCAACTCGTCAGTCCGTTGTTCTTTTGAAGATAGGGTTTGCTGGAGACTCACGTATGCCAGGTTTATCGCCAATCGGGGTTATGGCAGCAATCGCCTCAGGGGGTGCGTTAGGCATGGAAGAAGGTAGACGTTTCCAGGAGGCAGACGTGTCAGGGTTAGGACAGGGATTAACGCCGTTTGCGTGGCTCAGTACTACCATGATTCCTGAAGCGGAGGACGAAAGCTCTCACGAAAATCCTTTGACACCATTCAATGGTCACAGTGGTTGTGCCTTACCAGAGACTTGCTTCACGGTACAGTCACGCTGCTCCGTTATGAGCGTCAAGGAGCAGTCTGCCAACAACCCTCTCGGGTTGATGAGACGTAGCTTCACATGCAACCTGCTACCAAGCGAGGAAGAAGTTGTACTTTCTGCCAGACATGTGAGTTACCTACTAAAGTATCTTACCATATCTGATCAAAAGACGTTACGTATCTTAGTCTTTTATGCTGAAGATATTGAGTCTGAAAGACGTTGCGCATTGACTGGCGTCTGCAGGAAGTCACGGAGTCTGATTCTGCAGAACGCGCCTATGGTTTGAAGCCAGTATCTGACCAGCTGTTTCCGCGTTCCACGTCGGTACTGGAGTGGCCTGTCGTTCGGTCAGGACATGGATCTGATCAGGGTCCGAGGAAGAACATGGAAGATGCGCATGTTATGGTTGATGACCTGACGAAGTCGTTTGGTGATTTGTCGTTCTCTCGACGGGGATCTTTTTACGGGGTGAGTGTGCCTTGCTTTGTTGTTGCGCTTTCCCTGGGTCGCACATGGGTCATCGTTGGGCCGACATTTAACTCGACTTTTCCCGTTTCAGGTGTTTGACGGGCATGGTGGTGACGCTGCTGCGAAATTCGTGAGCAGTCAGTTGCTAGGGAACATTCTTAGCGATCCTTCTTTCCCAGATCGAGTAGGACAAGCAATTTGCAATGCGTTCATGCGTACCGACCGAGAGCTGGAGATGGCGCATACTCTGGCCAGCGAGCCAATGGAATCAGGGACAACCGCGCTGGCAGTGCTGCTTCTGGGAAAGTATGTCATCATCTTTATGCTTTGCCGTTTTGTTCGCTTCCTGTACCAAATCTAGTTCCTTTTTCATTGTTGCTGACCGGTTTACAAAATGGGTCGTTTCAGGGCTCTGTACGTCGCAAATGTTGGTGATTGCCGAGCTGTGCTGTGTCGGCGAGGAAAAGTACTGGAGCTAAGCAGGGACCACCGTCCGTCCTGTCAGTTAGAGAGGGAGCGGGTGCAGCTGGCAGGCGGCTTTATTGTCGAAGACTATCTAAACGATCAACTTGCTGTGACGAGAGCTCTCGGCGACTGGCATTTGCAGGTAAGGCCTTAGAAGAAATGTTACGTTCAATACTGCCGTTTTTTTTTTTCGCAGTTGGCTAACTTCCGTATTCTTTCACGTTGCCATCCATGCTTTGTTTATCTCATCTCAGGGCATGAAGAACAGGGCAGCAGATGGGGAAACAGTGGTAGGTCCGCTTATAGCGGAGCCTGAGCTACGTGAGGCAGAGCTGACGGAGGAGGATGAGTTTCTTGTGATTGGGTGTGATGGCCTCTGGGATGCGTTCCGCCACAGTCATGAGGTGGTTTCCTTTGCACGAAAAAGACTGCGTGCTCACAACAACCCTCAGCAATGCTCACAGGTCTGTGCTGCGTTGCAACTCCCCTTACTTTCTGGCTCGTTATGCATTTCTGGTTCCCTGGCACTTGGCATTCGTGCTTTACTGACGGTTTCTTCCCCCAATCACACGATCATTATTATTTCAGGAACTGGTGCAGGAGGCCATTCGGAGAGATTCTGGTGACAACGTGACAGTTGTAACTGTGTGCTTTTCAGCACAGCCACCACCACCGTTGCAGCATCAAGAGTTTAGAAATTCGCGCCTCAGAAGGAGCTTCTCTGCCAACGAGCTTCAATCCTCTTAGGGATGTACATGTCAACATATTGCATTTTCCACAACTACAACCTCCATGTGGTGAGTCTCTTGTCTGCTGCCTTACTCTGTGCATGACAATGTCTCTGACCTTTGCATTTTTTACTCTACAGATATATCGGCATTTTTTGCCAGCAAGGTCTTGCACTGGCAAGTAGAGCCAGCAGCAACTTTTTGGCAATGCAGTACCCTATCATATTTTTGCAAGCAGGGTCCTGCTGACCCTATATAGACGCCATAGCTGTGCAGTTCAAGCGTGTGCATGCTTGCTGCAACCCTGAATAAGCACGTTATATCTTGTTTATGTTGTGCCACATTTTTTATGAGTGGCATGAAAATAGCATGGAACACTGTGTTCTTCATTCTGTACAAATTACGGGTATATTTTAGTACAAATTGCTTCTGTTACATCACATTATATGCACACAGATACCGAACATTGAATTACAGAGTAAAACGTTGTTGAACAGCTGGTGGCAAAATGATTGCTTTCACATGTAAAACGTTTCTGGCAGAGCCCATGATCACAGATCAGCATGGCCTGGATACCTAGGGAACGGAATAGCATCTCGGATGTTATCGATGCCTGTGGCGAAGAGGATCATTCTTTCAAAGCCCAGACCAAAGCCCGCATGAGGCACTGTCCCGTACTTGCGCAGATCCAGGTACCACTCGTACAACTCCCGTGGCAAGTCCATCTCCTCCAACCTGGAAAACACAATGGTTAAAGGCGATTTGTGGGGATGAATGAATTGTGGCTTGGCAAAATGCATGCAATGCTGAGAGAGTGAATTTGACTTGCCATCATCATGAACATGGCAAACACAGCAAGCAAGCACATACCTCTTGACCAAGACATCATAACGCTCCTCCCGTTGACTCCCTCCTATCAACTCCCCCACCTGCAAAGACAAGGACGTTGTTGAAAGGCATTAAATGGGTCACATCAGATTTCAAGAAAATGCCATCTGGAAATCAAACTTATGTGTCCATGCATGCCAAAGTACTGCAGCAAGCCCATCAACCAGCTGCTCTACCTTGTACAGCCACAAGAGTGAGCATGACTTACCCCAGGCACAAGCACATCCATGGCTGCCACAGTCTTGCCATCATCATTGAGCCGCATGTAGAACGCCTTGACCTCCTTGGGGTAGTTGTACACTATCACTGGCGTCTTGAAATGCGTCTCTGCAAGGTACCTGCCACAGCATGTCATGCCATGCCCATGCCCATGCAATGCCAACACATGTCAGAAGAGTAAATACCAAAATCTGAGAGTAGAGTGACCAGCAACAACAAACATAGTTGCGGATCAGCCTAACGCGAAAAAAAAACAATCCAACTCCCCTTACATCGTTGCAACCCCCTTTCTTCCCCATTTTCTCACCTCTCATGTTCGCTGGCAAGGTCGATGCCCCACTCAACCGCATTCTCAAACTTCTTCCCCTTCTTGATCGCCTCTTGCAGCAGCTCAATCGCCTCGGTGTATGTCACTCGGGCGAAGGGCGACGACGCCACATGTGCGAGGCGGTCCAGAGCGGTCTTGTCAAACATCTTGGTCATGAACTGCATGTCGTCGCGACAGTTGTCCAGCAGCCATTGGCAGAGGAACCGCACATAGTCCTCCGCACATTTCATGTCGTCCTGCATGCATTTGTTGAGATGCGGCACAGGCAGCACACACACACACACACACCAAACCATGAAATAATATGCGTGTGTGGGAGGAAGACAGACCCAAGAAGCACAGCCGACACCAGCAATGCAGAATGCCAGGCCTAAGGAGTGGATCTGCTGCAAGTGCAGACAAAGCAACAACATACCTCCAGGTCAGCGAAGGCGATCTCGGGCTCAACCATCCAGAACTCCGCCAGGTGGCGGGTCGTGTGGGAGTTCTCAGCGCGGAACGTCGGTCCGAACGTGTACACGCTGCTGAGCGCGCAAGCATACGTCTCCACCTGAAGCTGCCCCGACACCGTCAGGAACGCCTGCCGGGCGAAGAAGTCCGCACCAAAGTCCACCGGCCCCTTGCCGTCCTCCCCTTTCCTCGGCAGCCCTGGCCGCATCTTTGCCCGTGCCTCCAACGCCGCTAGAGCCTCCTTAGTCTTCGTTAGCTCCGCCACGCCGGCTTTAATCTCCTCCTTGCTCGCCTTCGCCTCCTTAAGAGCCTTCACCGCGCAGCCCGCTGCTGTCACGGCGTCTTTGGCGGCCGCCACGTCAGCGTCCGTGGGAGGGGGGTTTTCCAAGAGGGCCTTTTCGCGGCGCTCGGTTTCGGCGATGAGGGTGGTAACGTGGAACATTTCGCCAGCGCCTTCGCAGTCGTTGGTGGTGACGATGGGCGTGTGCACGTAGAGGAATCCGTGCTTCTGAAAGAAGCTGTGCGTCGCGAACGCCAGCGCGTTGCGGATCCGCGCCACCGCCGCGATCTGACAGGGGGGATGGGAGCGCGGAGACGGGAGGGGTGGGGAACGCGGGGGAAGGGAGGACAGGGGGAGCGCGGGAAAGGGATGGAGGAGGGAGGAGCGAGGAGGCGTGAAGATGAGAGGGAGAGAGCGTGGCGAACGGGGGTTGCAGAAGGGTATCCGTTTCTTCTCCTCTCCGATAGCCCAGCTCGCCACGTCAGCATTGCGTCATACCGTGTTGGTGCGCGGTCGCAGGTGCATGACGGATCGCAGGTACTCGAGCGACAGCTTCGTCTTGGCGATGGGGTACACGCCAGCGTCGCACGGGCCCACGTGGAGCACCTTGCTGACGTGGACCTCCACCAGCTGCTTCGTCCCCTCGGGCGTGCGCTTCAGCTCGCCCTCCACGCGCACGCACGTGCCCGCCGCCACCAGCTCCCCAATCGCCGCCACCTCAGCCTTCACGATCACCTGCGGAGAAACAATGGTGAACCAGGACGAGAAGGCCGAATGCCACGAAGAGATCCACGTCAGCATGACGACCACGTGCCAGAAGGGGACGATCAATTGAAACCCGGAGCTTGAACAGTCTATGCAAAACCCCCGTCTACTGGCACGACAGGAGCAGACGGCCAGATTAAGGAATCACTGAATTGAAGCGCGCGAGCAACGGAGCACGTCGGAGATCACCCGATTCGGCGAATCACACGACATACTAGCAAACGACGGTCACTGCTCGCTGATCGCCCGGTCCCTGACGAACACACCGCGAGCGACGGTGTACGACGGCCTGCGACACTGTGCGACGGTACCTGAAGGTTGGCGGGGCACGATCCGTCGTTGAGCTCTAGGAAGGCGAAGGTTCCCTTGCCCTGCTCTCGCCCGGTCTTCACCCATCCTCCTAGCACTAACGTCTGCCCAACCAATGACAGGCCGCCGTCTGGTGCACCGAGAATAGTTTTAATCACGACCCTCTTCGAGTACGGAGCGAGGATGGAGACAGCGGGAGCGGACTGCGTGGATTCGCCATTATGGGCTGGAGATGCTGGACCGTCCGCCATGGCTGAATGAACTGCGACTGCATCAGTCAGAGAGTGGGACTTCCGTGATAATATGGTCGTTTAATGTTTGTTAAGTCTTGATAACAAGCGTTCATGCCTGAGTGGTTAATGGGACAGACTCGAAATCTTTTGGGCTCTGCCCGCGCAGGTTCGAATCCTGCTGAACGCGCTTTTTGCTTTATGCACTTCTGCGTTTTGTAGCAGTTACCCGTTGTCGTCAAGCCGTGTAAAACTTGTTCGCGCGGTGCTGCTCTTCGCACGACAATACCCACTCGCGCTCGAGAATGCTTCGCACGACAATACACCTGATGCCCGATATAGTCCCCCGACATTGCCTTGTGCGCTGGGCTTATAAGCGATTTTGACAATTCGGGCACTTCGTACGTCTCGCCACGGCCATCAGGTGCGCTTCAACGGCACAGGTTGTTACCCGTTTGTCCTTTCCCTAAACAGTGTGGGGTGGCCATGTTTGTTGTGCATTCATAGACATCGTTACCACGTTTTTCGCCAATCACATTAACACCCCATTACATTTCACAACTCCCCGCATCACAAATAGAACACCCATACTCCCAACCAATAAAGCACCACCACCTGTACCCTACCCAATCATAACGCCCAATTCCCAGTCATAACGCCCAATTCCTGCAAATGTGCACAAGGCGTACACCTGATGCATTCGAGGAGGGGTGCAACTCCCTTACGGGGTACAAATCCCCTCTCACAGCCGCATCCATTCTGCGGCGGCCAGGTAGCCGCTCATCACGGCTGGTGCACCCGCCTCGATGAGCTCCTGGCGGCGGGCCGACTGCGCCACCCAGTCAGGGGTGGGCACTTGCATCCACGCCGGCAGCACACGACCGCGGCGACGAGGAGTCTCCGGCGGCGGGGTGTCGGCGTGAGTCACGGCGGGGGGGGGGGGGGGGGGGGGGGGGGGGGGGGGGGGGGGCGTGGTTGAGATCGAGGGGCGGGCTCGCGCGCTCCATACGCCCAACGATGATTGGGTTGCGAATGTCGAACAGGGCGCATAGGTCGCGGGGGGTGACGCACGTTGCCCACGCGTAGCCAATCAGCATCTCGCACGCCGCGCGCGCGGTACGCCGCGCTTCGCGTGACGCGGGGTTGCTGTCGTCGTAGACAGCCTGCATGTTAGCTGGCGCCTCCCACATTTCGGGCGTCGCAGCAGACGCCGGCTCCATCGCAAGCGGGTCCTCACCCGGTTCGGCGCACGTGGGCTGGTTGGCGTCGACGTTCACGAAATCGGCGGCCATGGCGCTCGGCCCGAGGCACAGTCGGTCAATGAGGAGGCCGACATCATTCACTTCGGCGTCGAGGCCGATGTCGGCCGCATTCCCCCCGGCGCCAGTGGCGCCGCCGTTGGTGCCGGTGGTGCCGTTGCCGACTCCCACGTGAGGGAGAGACATGGCCCAGACGTGCGGCAAACATCCTGTGCGCCACCAGCAGCGCTGGATGGCGCGGGGCCCGATGTTCATCCAAGCATCGCTGAGCCACTCCAGCACGAGCCGCGGATTCGGCTTGAAACGCGCGGCCGCGGTCGTGGCTCCGTCGGCACACCACATGCTGGTGAATGCGCGGAGCCAGTGCTGGCGGTACCGCGCCTTCGCCATCGAGATAAGGCCCTGGTCAAGGGGCTGGGTGAAGCAGGTCGTGTTCGGCGGCAGGTACACGAGGCGAACGTTCCCGAGGGCGCGCGTGCGGAACCCGAACATGTCTTCCGTCGTGGCGCCTTCAGTCGTGAGCGTGTGGCTACTAGCGTTATCGAGCAGCACCACGATCTTCCTTCCCTCGGCGTACATCGTGGCGTCAAGCTGCTCGATGTAGTGAGTGAACAACTGCACATCGTGAAGTCGGGTAAAGGGAGTGAACAATTGGGGGGGTATTGGTACAATGTTTATCAACCGGGAACTGTTAGGTGGCGGCCGATTCGATATAATCACAAGTATGAATATACTCACCGAGGACGTCATCCAACCCTTGGCGTTGTTCCGCCAGAAACATAGCTCCTCGGGGTTGTAGTCGGGCCGGAAGTCGTGGGGCCTCCTAGCCTTCGAAATGACCAAGGGCTTGAAGACCCGGGACCCGTCGGCGTTGACGAGGAATCCCACCGTCAAACGCTCCTTGGCAATCTTACGGCCGGCCGTGCGTGTGGTGCCGTACGTCTTACGGGGCAGGGTTGACAGGTACAGTGCGGTCTCATCGAAATTGAAGGTGTCGCTCGGCGTGACAGAAAGATGCATCAACAACTGCGGCAGTTTCTCCTTAGTCGTGCGGACGGCCGTCATGTCCTGGTCGGCCGCCTCGCCGACGGCGCTCATGCAGCGGACCCCCTGGCCGCGCAATGTGCAACGAACCCATCCAATGGAGCAGCGGAAAGTCGGCGGCAGCCCACTGTCCCGCGCCATTCTCGCCACGTGGTCGCGGATGGTGGCGAGAGTGAGAGGCACGCCAGCCGGGCCCGCATTGGAGATCCAGCGGGCCATCGCACGCTCGAGCTCGGGGTGAGCACCTCCGCGCACACGGATAACGTCGTCGTCCCCATCAGGTCGCACCCAACGGTCGGCACCCTTGAGCACACGCCCAATAGTGCTGCGATCGGGACGCACACCGAATCGAGTGAAGCACCAGCGAGAAAGGTCGACGTGTCGCAGGTGCGGGTTAGCTACATGGTGGGCGCAGATCGCCCTCTTGATCGGGAGGCCGAGCTGAGCACGATGGTATAGGCGAGCCATAGAGGTTAGTCGGGTATTGTGGGCTATGATTGACGACTAATTTGTCACTGCTTTTTTATAACTCTGGGTTCGATCATCGAGAGAGGCGCGAGGTTGGACATTGACAACGGCGCCCCTTACAATCCTTTGTTCGAATGCATAGAGTAATGGTTACAAGCCAAATGCAGGCAGGTAACCACAACCGTGAGTGGTGACATGTGTATGCTGCACAACGAGGCTCTGCAGGGGTCTGTAACGGGTTTAGGCAGTGTACAGGTGGCGTTACCAATTTAGTGGTGGTCTGTTTGACGCACCATGAAACACCTTACGTGGCGTGGGCTTGTTCCGCGAATGTGGTTACGAATTCGAACTGGTTTCGTACACGCACCTCGCATCATTTGTTTATGGCTTGGAAACAGGGACCACCCTGTTGAACGGTCTTTGTTTTCAGCGCTACATTCATTCGTGGTTGTATTCGACCCACTTGTGTAAGTAGTCCAAGGCGCTCTAAAAGGGGGTGCATCTTCACGGCAAAAAACCCACGAGTGCGAGGTTTTCATCAGGTGCAAGGCAATTTCGCGTGCAGGGGGTGAGCATCATGTGTACCCACTCAGCCTTGAGTCTGTTTGATTTGAAGAATGCAGGGTGCTAGTTTTTCAATTCAACCTCTCAACCTTGGCAGGCTTGTCAGACATTGGGAATGTCGGCTGACACTGCCGCTCGAACTGGAGTTATCCCAGCAAGCCTATCAATGAGGGAATACACCTGTTCTCCGCTATTTCCACACCCCCAATCTTCACCCCTTTTGTTCTCACCTGAGGGCAAAGTGAGCCTGGGCGGCGAAACTCGACCAGGCGCGTGCACCAGCAGAGTGAGTCAGCAAGGGGCTTTTCAACCCCTTGACTTGGGCGACGGATTCATTTACAGCCGAGATGCAGCTGACATCAGCAATCGTAGGATTTCATATGCACCAACATCGGATCGCACTAACCTCTCACCACAAATTCGATGCACGAATTTGTCCTACAACACAGCCAGGTGGATCCGAATTATAACACCCTGATTGGTCGAAACATCTCCTTCCACGCCAATGTGAATTTGGAAATGGCATGGGAGAAATTGGATTCGACTTGGAGAATATGAACCAACACAGATGCCTCCAGAGACATTAGACAATCTATCCCGTCACTCGCTAACCAATTCCAGAGCCTCCAAATAGACTTCCCTACTCAACATCATGCCCGCCCAACGTAGAAATACTGCCTTCACACGTGTAGAGAAAAGCGCTCTATGTGACTTCAGCGTTAAACACACGGACATGTCGCAGAAAAAGCTTGCAGCCTGGTGTTTCAGTAAGTTCAAAAAGCATCCATGCCGAACCACGGTCTCTAAAATTCTCAAGAACTCGTCAAAATGGACTGCACCTTCTTTGCTTCCACCGGACCGAAAACGCCTCCGTCAGGGCAAGTTCCCAGCGTTAGAGGCTAGGTTGCATGCGTGGGCGGTGCGGCAAACCGCCGCGAACTTGCCGGTCACATTCCACATACTTCTTCAAAAATCGGATGCGTTAGCCAAAGCAATGCGCCTTCCAAACGACTTCATGGTTTCCCCAGGGTGGCTTTGCCGTGCGTTAGCACGTATGGGAATGTCATCCTATCAGCGAAAGGGTGAGGCAAAAGACGCCAATGCCGAATCCATAGGCCTTGCAAGAGAGGCCATTCCAAAAATCTTGAAGGAGTTCGGCTATGAGCCCACGGACGTTTACAACATGGATGAGACCGGATTTGTTTCGGGACAACAACCACGCCGAACATACGCGAATGAGTCGGTTGCGGGAGGAAAGCTTCAAAAAGAGCGATTCACACTTGCATTGTGTTGCAACGCCGACGGGACGGACTTGATGAAACCGATTGTGATCGGAAGTGCGTTGCGTCCGACCTCATTCCGGAATGACTTCCATGTGGACGACTACGCATGGTTCCATACCAATAAGCGTGCATGGATGACCTCGGAGGTAAGCTTTGATTTCTGTTTTTGCCCCCATGGTATTTTGCAAGATGCTTGAATATTGATTGGCACACTAGGTGAGGCTCACACTAACTAATTCTTGGTGTTCATATTTGTTTCAGATTTTCACCCAATGGGTGGACGCCGTGGACGGCGACATGAAACACAAGGACCGTAAGATCGCGATCCTTGTGGACAACGCTAGCTCACACAATGTGGATGAACGCAAGATCGAGGGGATACGCGAGTATTGGCGCGACGGCATCCGGATTGTCGAGCTCCCGAATGTGAGGGTGATTTATCTCCCCCCCAACTGCACCTCGCACGCCCAACCTTTGGACCAAGGCGTCATCTCAACGTTGAAGTTGCGGTATCGGAAGCTCTTGGTCGCGTGGTTGATCGACGAGTTTGAACGTACGCGTGATCAAGAGGAACGTAAGGCGCTTCGGCCGGATTTGCGGCTTGCCATTACTTGGGTTTGCGGAGTGTGGAGCACCATGGGGAGGGAGATCGTTAGGAGGTGTTGGCGACGATCGGGCATTGTGCCATACGAGTGGTTGGAGGAGTGGGGATTAGAACGTATTTTCCAAGGCCCTTCAAAGGATCCGGGAGACAACGGTATCACATCGCTCACCCGTTTGTTGTCGAAGCTGAAGATCGACGAACCAATGATGACCGCTCGCGAATTTGTCACGTGTGACGCACACATTGCTACCTCTACACGCTTGGAAAACGATGCCGAATGGGTGGGAAGGAGTTGGTGGACTACGGGACCCGGCAGCAGTGGTGTTCCTTTAGATCTGAATGACGCTCCCCCCTCAGAGGCACGTATGACCGATGAAGATGCAGCAGCAGCAACAACGGCGTTGCATGAGTTCGTTAACGATTCGACCATGTACCAATACATTTTTCCCGCTATCGAGCGCGCCGGTCCCTACAGCAACTTCATGGAGCTTATTTCTGAAGACAACATGGAGTTTGCTTATGCAGGGCTAAACGTGTAGGTCGGAGGCTCAAGGACGACTCGAAGAGGACACGTTCCATGCCCTCTGAATGTCGCTTGTTCTTATTTTTGTTTTAGGAGAGGCCATTTCATATCTGTTATGGTGTACTTGGTTGTTTTCATTTGTGCTCAATCTTTCTTTGACTTCGCCACTTTTTTTCATCACCCGTTTCTCACGCCTGTACTGTTCGTATTATAAAGCGAGGCTGAGTCAGCCTCGCCACTTCGCTTTCCACGCGCGCTGACTCAGCGCGCGTGAAATTAGGCACAACTTTACAATTAGGTATAACTTCACACCCCCCGTACAGGACAAACAACAGTAAGTGTTTTTCAGGGTGTAAAAATAACGGAGAACAGGTGTAGGAGAATCCCTGAGGCAGCTCTTGGATTCATGCTTTTTTATTGTGAGGCGACCAGTGCGTGTTGGCAGCTCTTCATGAACACGGACTTCTGTGAGTTTTTTTTTCGAAAAAAACGGACTAGTACCCCCCTTACTACCTATGCGCACGGCGGAGGACTAATTCTGATAGAAAGAGTCAGTGAGACGGCTCGTGGGTGTTCTTGAACACGCGTGACAGGCGGTGTGTGGGCCATGCCGTAGAGCCCTTTGAACCACTTACAAGTTAACGCTCTGGTTTCTCCTATGAGCTTCTCTTTACTCTAGTAGCTGAAGCGCGCTGCGCCTTCCGCATGCCATGACGAGCGTCCCTTCGTCTTCGTCTCCGCCTGGCTTCGATCTTTCGGCCACCGGTTATTCCTTCCGGCCTCCCCTGACGAACGTCTGCACCGCTCTCGTATCGAATTTGTCCCCATCCTCGATATGGACATGTTCAGTTTCAAACCAATCGAGCGTCGTGCTCGTGGATCTGTGGCCGTCCGATCCAACCTACCTGTCCAACGAGCCAGCTTGCAGCAGTTATCTCCTCATTCCTGCAGAGAACGCATGGGATGTGACTGTACGAACGGCGATGTACACGTTGGCGTTGGTGTACCTGTTCATAGGCCTCGCTACAATCACAGGCAAATACATGGAAGCCATGGAGAACATCGTTCAGCAGACCCGTAAAGTGAGACTCTGGTGCGTTAGGCTGAAAGACTTCAATTGTACTTTGAGTATGACGAAGGGGTATGAGCAGAGTATTATTTTTTAACGCGGAATTTGTTGATATCATAAATTTGTCCAATGGAGAATGTCATTGCCATCCAGGTGCAAGCCTCTCCCACGTTTCCCGTTTCGAAACAAGTTGCTGGTCATAGGATGGTATCACATAGGCAGCTTTTGGATTGGCCATCGCTGACGTCATGCTGCATGTAATACAGTGAAGCAGAAACCATGGAAGGTCGATACTTAACAGAGGGGCTTTGACATTATCTTGTGCTCTCTTTGTTTTTTTTTACCTTGAACACATTTCTTCGTCATCAGGGACCCTGCAGCTGGTCGGTGGGTGGAGTCGGAGCAGCGCATGTGGAATCCAGCCATCGCTGACATCACGCTGCTGGCGCTGGGCACATGTGCGCCTCAGATCTCCCTCGCAGTCATTGACGCCGTCAGGCGACTGGGCAAGACTGGCGGACAGGGTGAGTGGGGTTCCATGTCGTGTGATGAGGAGTGAGTTACAGACACTTTGGAGAGAAAAAACAGAGGCTCAAAGCTTGCAGTTTTTTTATTCCCCACGTCCATGCCCTTCCAAACGTTCGGAATCCTCTCTCCCACTCTCATCTGTTGACTTGGCTGGCTCCCATTCCTGGTTATGTGCGCCCGTTGCCTGCACGCCTATGAGCATACATCCTGTCAGTGACTGTTGCTCTTTAGTCACTCACTACCCGATGCTCTTCCTCTGCCCTCGCCTGTTTGCACCCAGACCTAGGAGCGGGCACCATCATAGGCGGTGCAGCCTTCAACATCTTCCCCATCCTGGCTGTCTGTGTGCTCGTGCCTCCTACCGGCACCCTCAAGCGCATTTCAGACGTGGGGCTCTTTCTGGTCGAGTTCCTCTGGTCGCTCTGGGCCTACGTGTGGCTCTACATCGTGCTACAGGTGAGTCCAGGGGAATGTGTCTCAGGAATGGCTGTCTGGTTGTGCCACACCCCACCATGTGTTTCTTTTCAAGATGCATGGCAATGATCATCAGATTCTGCTGTTGTGTGAGCCACCTTCAAGCTCTCCATGCGATGAGGCTGATCCTGCTTATATTTCTCTTTCACATCTCTTGTTGTTTTCACCTGGTGTTCCTCCTGTCCAGGTGTGGACGCCAGGCGAGGTGACAATAGCAGAGGCAGTGATAACAGTGCTGCAGCTGCCGCTTCTCATGCTTCATGCATACGCCCAGGAGCAGCGCTGGCCTTTCATATCCCTGCCGCTCACACCACCCACCAGCCAACCTCTCACTGCTTCCTCCGAAGCCGTTGCTGCGACAGCAGGAGCTGCTAGCTCAGCAATGCAGGAGGGTGCTCAAAGGGCAACTGTACGAAGTGCTTCCTTTAAAGAGAATGCTATGGCAGGCGGGGTCGTTGCAGGCAGCGGTGCGGCAGTACCTGGCCTGCTTGGAGATTTATCTCCAGGAGTTGCCTCTGGTCCTGCTATGGAGGGCCATGCAGCACTGGGCGATTTTTCCACTCCGAGCAGCAGCAGGAGGAGGCGGAGGAGCAGTGAACGCGAGCGCAGCAGCAGACGCAGCAGTGGTGGTGGTGGTGGTGAAGGGGGCATGGGGAGAGGTAGCAGTCGCAGGCACAGCCTATCATCTCAGGCGGAGGACAGGGAGTGGGACGATGTGGAGGAGGATGAGGAGGTGGGGAGGGGAAGGCGCAACTCTGGGCAGGGGTTTCAGCAGGGGGATGTGGAGGCACTGCCTCAACCAGATAGCCTTGCCCAGCTCATCGCCTCTAGGCATTCACATGGGAGCGATGGCAGCAGCAGCAGCGGTGGGACGAAGGGGGTGTCATTGGGCATGCGGTGGAGGCAGCAGATCGTGCTCTCCATGATGGTGTGTTGCCACGTGATGCCTGTCGTGACGTTATGGCATGTGCTGACGCAATGGCATGTGCTGACGCGATGGCGTTTGCTGACGCAATGGCATGTGCTGACGCAATGCATGTGCTGACGGCATGTGCTGACGCAATGGCATGTGCTGACGCGATGGCATGTGCTGACGCAATGGCATGTGCTGACGCGATGGCATGTGCTGACGCAATGGCATGCGCTGACATGATTGCGTATGCTGACATGTGATAGGTGATAGGTGTTGTGATGGCATGTTCTTCGTGTCCCTTATTGCCTCCAATGCCCACCACCCCTTCCCACGCATTCCCTATCCCATCCCATCCCCCTCCCCCTCCCCCAGCTACACCCATCGGATTATAATGCTCTCACAGCACAAAGCAGCATGCACCCCTCACATGAGCAACCAGCAGCGCAAAAAGCCCGGCCAGTGGCAGCGAGGGTGCGGCGGGTGGTGGTGCACGCGGTGTGCTTCCTGTGGAAGGCGCTGTGTGCGCTGCTCATCCCCCCGCCTGACGCCCTGCACGGCTACCCCGCCTTCATCACCAGCATCCTCGTCATCACCCTCATCGCTGCCCTCGTTGTCGAGCTCGCCTCTCTCTTCGGCTGCGTCACAGGTGCGATAGGAATTATAGTTACACATGTATAGGAATTATACAGGAGTTATTAAGAGGCATTCATTCATTCTCTCTTCGGCTGCGTCACAGGTGCGATAGGAATTATACATGAGATTATACAGGAGTTATGAACATGCATTCATTCTGCGTGCCCACGAGACAAAGAGCTGCTGCCCGTCTTTCCTGAACCCATGTACATGTGTTTCCTCCCTCCGCTCCCCCGTGCCAGGGGTGAACTCGTTCGTGGTATCCATCACGCTGCTGGCGACGGGCACGTCCATCCCGGACCTCATAGCCAGTGTGGTGGCAGCAGACCACCTGCCCACTGCTGACTCCGCCATCGCCAACATCAACGCCAGGTCAGCACTCTCCCACTGCTGCTGCTTGTCATGCCAGTATCAATGCATATTGTGGTGATTCGAGTGTGGATTGCCACAGAGGTTAGCCAATGCTTGTTCTCTTCTGCTTTTTGAACGCACCACTTTACCTGAGCTTTCCTCTGTGCCTGGCAGCAATTGCATTATTGTTTTCTCGGGCATGGGTATCCCATGGCTCATCACCACTCCCTACAATGAGTTTGTGTTGGGATCAGCAAACAATGTGAGCACGGCAGGCCTCGGGTTTTCCATCATTGTTTTCTTCTTAACAACTGCCGTGTGCATGGCAATGTTATTCCTTCGGAGAATCTTGCTCGGAGGAGAGCTTGGAGGGCCCAGGCCTCTCGCTTGGCTCTCTTGCTTTGCCTTCATGCTGCTCTGGATTGTCTACATGCTGCTCTCTTCACTGAATGCATATGGAATAATTGGAGACATGGCGTAGATTATCTGATCCGACTATCAATCGAAACCCTCTTTTTTAATCTCTGAAGTTCACCACCATTGCTAGGACACTATGATGGGCTCACATCGGGGGGGGGGGGGGGGGGGGGGGGGGGGCTTTCATGGTAAAAAATGTAATCTTAGCGTGATCCGTGGGTGCAGCCCCATTTACAATTTACGGTAAGAGTATTTTATTTAAGCTAATGCGGTAATAAGCTGATTTCATATGGTATACATGTGCAGTAAACAGTTTGATTTATTCCAAGGTCCATGCACTTTTCTGGCTTTGAAACACTGAATCAAATTCAGAATATTTCACCTTCAGCGCGTTCTAATGGAGTGACTCCTGGTGAGTACGTCATTCCGCATCTCCTCTCAACCTGTTCTGCGTTGCCTGACGCAACAACCTGCACATGAAGGAAAGACTGCCCAGAACAGATATATTGTATTTGCTGTTATTTTGATTCGACTTCGTGAAAAACTGGCGGAATTTTCACTGATGGCCATTAGCAGCACCGGCAGAACTCTGGACAGTCCATACTGATTCGGGTGGATTTGTTGCACGGAACTTGGGACAAAAGACTCGAAACTACTCATGTTGCAGGGGAAACCTCTTCTGAAACCAGTCCCCTCAACACAAATCCTGAAGCGGCCCAAATGACCTGACAGCAGCTGCTGGGGGGTTGAACTCATTCCTCACTTTCAGGCTGAAGCTAGGGTTTGGTGGTCCCTGAGAGTGGCGTTCGGATCCATGCCAGAGCGTGTGGCCAAACGATATCCTCTTGGCGGCGAGTGCGCCGGTTGCGGGGATCTACTTTCGCAATTTGCGCTTCGGCCACTGCGGTCCCCACTTCCAGCGAATCATGTGGCGTTTCCATCTGATTTTTTTCCTATCCGTTAGCCCAACGGTTCTGCCTCTCCTTGGCGCCAACAGGCTTAGCTGTTTCACATGTTTCACCACCAACGCGCACTCCCCTTGGCCCCATTCGCGGCTCGGTTCTTACCCCACTCACCTCCCATTCAGCCCCGATCCGTGCCCCTCCGTTCACCAGTCAATTTCCCAAATTCCCATTTCCCAACCAATTCGCCTCATTCTCACCTCCTCATATCCTCCCAGTCTTCCTCATTTCGGCATTGCTTTCAAACACTTTATTCAAACGTCAGTCCGTTCGATCGATGGGACAGCCACTGCAATATCTCAACCGCTTTGGAGCAGCGTTGCTGACCTTGTACCGAGCTATGAACGAGTGGAGCCATGTTGCCGCCGAGCTGACTACTTTGAGACGGCGAAAGCTCAGCCTATTTTTATTTGCAGCAACGCATTGTGTAAGTTTTCAAAATATCGTTGTGACGCGCAGGTTTCCTGTTTTTGCATTGTTTTCTTTGCTTTCTGCACGGCGACCATTATTCTGACAATTGTTTTCTACCCGCGCAGGAACCGAGTGTACAAGACGACTCAATATCCTCGGCAGAACGCGAAGAGCGACTCAAGACGTGCAACGAGCAACTTCAACACGCCTCCAGTGAATGCTGCAACGACAAACACGTCAAGATCCGCGACGCGTCCTGCAGTCAACGCGCGTCGGCGCGTCGCGTGCTGCTTCGATCCGACAATGATGAGTACCACCGGCCGATCGCCGCTCTGTAGCACACCCAAGCCCCCCCGGTTCAGGTTCCAGGTGCAGGTGTTCCCCCGGTACAGGTGCAGGTGAGGTGAGAATCAGGTCAGACTCGGTACAGGTTCGGCCTTGGTACGGTTAAGACTCAGGTATCCCTTCCTTAGGTGTGCTACAGCAGCATCTGCTTTGCGTCTTCTGTTTTCGCCTTCATTCCCATCGCTTTTCATGCATGTGCTGCTTCCCTTCTTCCCTTCACTCATTTGTGCTCCGCCCTTTCTCCCCGTTGTTCCAGGAGGCGCCTCGTGCTGTACTCCCCGTTGTAAACCGCTGTCCGCTCGCTTCAACGCTGCGACAACGTAACGCCCTGCTTCCGCGAGTCAACACGTCAGGATCCGCGCGACGCGTCCTGCAGTCAACGTCGTCGGCGTGGAGTCAACGCGCTTCAGCGTCGCGTGCGGCTTCGATCCGACAATGATGAGTACCACCGGCTGGTCGCCGTCGATCTCTGCTTGCGCGCATGCTCGCGATGCTCTGTAGCACACCCAAGCCCCCACCGGTTCAGGTTCCAGGTGCAGGTGTAGCTGGTACAGGTGTTCCCCGGTACAGGTGAGGTGAGAATCAGGTCAGACTTGGTCCTGGTTCGGCCTTGGTAAGGTTCAGACTCAGGTATCCCTTCCTTGGGTGTGCTACAGCAGCCTTGGCATGTGCTCTTGCTTCGTCTGTGCTGCTTCCCTTCTTCTCTTTCGCATGCCTCTTCACTCATTTGTACTTTGCTCTTCCTCCCCGTTGTTTCAGGAGGCGCTTCGCGTTGTACTCATCGCGGCTCTCCGCTTTCTGCTCGCTTCAGCGCTGCACCCTGCATCCGCGGGTCAACAAGCGCTGCTTCCGCGGATCAACACTCTGCTTTCGCGGGTCAACGCTCTGCTTCCGCGGGTCAACGATCTGCTTCCGCGGGTCAACGATCTGCTTCCGCGGGTCAACGATCTGCTTCCGCGGGTCATCCCGCTGCTTCCGCGAGTCAACGCGCTACCTGTCATGGAAATAAGTATTCCTGTGCCCATGCTCGTGACCGTTTTCCCTTTTGTCTTTCGCTTGCTTTGATGTATTTTTTAATGCGTTTTCTCGTCGCTCTAGCTGCTTGTAGCACTCTCAAGGCCCCCCTATTTTTATAAGGTACAGACTATTAGGTACCCCTTATTTTTTTAATCCTCCCCTCGGTACGTTAAGGTACAGGTCCCCTCCCCTTATCCCCTCTTGAGTGTGCTACAGCAGCGTCTGCTTTTCGCCTTTCGCCTTCGCCTGCATGCATGTCCGTCCGCCTCGTCTGTGCTGCTTCCCTTCTTCTCTTCCGCATGCCTCTTCACTCATTTGTACTCCATCCTCCCCGTTGCTCCAGGAGGCGCTTCGCGTTGGACTCGTCACGACTCTCTGCGTTCCGCCCGCTTCAACACTTCGACAAATCAACGCCTTGCTTCCGCGGGTCAACGCCTTGCTTCCGCGGGTCAACGCCCTGGTTCCGCGGGTCAACGCGCTGCTTCCGCGAGTCAACGCGCTACCCGTCAAGGAGATGAGTATTCCTGCTTTGATTTCGTCGTGTCTTTTTTTAAGCGTTTTCTCGACGCTCTAGCTGCCTGTAGCACACTCAAGCCCCCCCTTTTTTTTTAGGTACAGACTATCAGGTACCCCTTATTTTTTTATCCTCCCCTTGGTACGATAAGGTACAGGTCCCCTCCCCTTAAAGCCCACGTCTCATATTTCTGACCTCTTGGGTGTGCTACAGCAGCCTTAGCTTTTCGCCTGCATGCATGTCCGTCCGCTTCGTCTGTGCTGCTTCCCTTCTTCTCTTCCGCGTGTTCACTCATTTGTGCTCCGCTCTTCCTCCCCGTTGCTCCAGGAGGCGCTTCGCGTTGCACTCATCGCGGCTCTCCCCCTTCCGTCGCTTCAACATTCGACAACGCAGCGCGCTGCTTCCGCGGGTCAACCTCTGATTCCGCGAGTCAACGCGCTGCTTCCGCGAGTCAACGCGCTGCTTCCGCGAGTCAACGCGCTGCTTCCGCGAGTCAACGCGCTGCCTCTGCGGGTCAACGCACTGCCTCCGCGGGTCAACGCGCTACCCGACAGAAAGATGAGTATTCCTGTGCCCATGCCTGCGACCGTTTTCCCGTTTGTCATTCGCTTTGCCTTGATTTCGCTCCGTCGTTTTGAATGCGTTTTCTCCTCGCTCAAGCTGCCTGTAGCACATTCAAGCCCCCCCTCTTTTTTTAAGGTCCAGACTAAGGTAAGGTAAGGTAAGGTACGTACAAAACTTATCCTTGGTAAGGTAAGGTACAGGTTTCCCCCCCACCAACCCCCCTTGGGTGTGCTACAGCAGCTGTTCATCCTTCCCCTTGTGCTGCGCGAGTGCTCCTTGCTTGCATGCGCGCCCACCGCACTCCCCCTCCTCTTCCGCGGACTTCCTCTCATCACACATCCTCCCCCCGCCTTCGCCCTTTCCTGCCTCCCTATCCCGCAGCCTCGCGCCTAGCGTCAAGGAACGTGCCATCGGCGGGCGTCGCGGGGAGGCGCACAAGGGGAGCTGCTGTGGGGGCGTGCGTGGGAGGCAGCAGCGGGTCGACTTGGCTCTCCCTCAGCCACCAGCGCACAGCGACCAACAGATGAGTATCACTCCGCCACCCCTTCCCGCTCGTTTCGCATGCCCCGTAGCACACCCAAACCCCCCTTTTTATGTCAAGGTTAAGACTCTCAGGTACTCCCTCCCCTTGGTGCAATTCTTTTATTCCCCTGGCTTGGTAAGGTAAAGGTCGCCTTCCCTCCGTTCGGGTGTGCTTCAGCAGCCATGCTTGCCTTCGCTTTCGCGTCTGACTGGACAACAGGCATGCCCTCGCACTTAATTCCCACCCCTCCCACCCCTCCCACCATTCCCCCCATCCCCCCGCTCCTCCCCTTGACCATCTCAGGGCTGTGTTGGCGTCAACAAATGGCCGTCGCTTTGCCTGGCGAACGCTCGTCAAGGGACGTGGGGCGCGGAGGCAACAGCAGAGGCAGCTGGAGAGGCAGCAGCGGGTCATCTTGGACTCCCCAACAAGCATCCGTCACAGAGCGACCAAAAGATAAGTATCGCTCCACCAGCCTCTCTCCCTTTGCCTTTGACAGTTTTCCCGCTTGTCTTTGTCGTTTTGCATGCTTGTCTCGTTTATTCTTTGCCTTCCTTATCGCTCTAGCTGCCTGTGGCACACCCAAGCGCCCCCCCCCCCCCCTGGTATGTCAAGGTGTAGGTCATCAGGTGTCCCAGGTACAGGTACAAACCTTTATCCAGGTCCCTTGGTACGGTATGGTGAGATTCAGGTCCCCTCCCCCCTTTCCTTGGGTGTGCTACAGCAGCCTAGGCCGTGCATGGCATGCTCTCTCGTTTGCACTCTCCACTTGTTTGGATCTGCATCCGCACTCCCCACTCACTCACTCCCCCCCTCCAATTCCCATCCCTTCCCGCCCCCCAGGGTGCCAGTGGGAGCAGAGGCGTGTGGGGAGGGGCGCAGCTGCTGCACTGCACCCATCTGCACCTTAACTCGACGCAGTTAAGTACCCAACTGGCCCTTCTCCTTGACCCTTCGTTTTTGCTGCCGACCCTGCTCTTTGCACTGCTGCACTCGCTCCTTTCAGCACTGCTGCACTCGCTATTTTTCAGCACTTTTGTAATCCACTACTGTGAATTCTCTTCAAACGTCAGCTACTAATCGTTTTCTCTGCACCCCTCGGCAGGTTCATCCACTGTGGTGGTCGCTGGTGTGGTGGTTGGCGGTGGTGGTGGTTGGTGTTGGTGTTGGTGGTGGTGGTTGGTGGTGGCGGTGGCTGTGGTGGCTGGTGGTGGTTGGTGGTGGAGGGTGGTGGTTGGGGAGAGGCCTTGAGTCTGAATTCCAATAGCCGCACGTTTAAGGCATAATGGACGATCACCAGACCCTGCGGCCGGGGGTCTGGTGTGGCTCCCCTCTTGCTACGTCGGTGAGGGTTCAGGTCTTGGGGTCTCTCCTCAGCCCCACTCTGGAGTGGTGGTGGAGAGTGGTTGGAAGTGGTGGTGGAGACTGGTGGGGAGTGGTGGGGAATGGTGATGGTGGTGTGGTTGGAGGGTGAGTCCCCTCAAGGGAGGGATGTTGAAACCCCAGGCGTAGGCTTCTGAAAGCCAGAAGTTAGAGAAGGGGGTTGAATGAGCCCCCTTTTTCACTTTCTACTGCAGTTGGTGTAGTAGAGTAGTGTTGTGATACTTACGGTATGTGACTGTTGTACTGTCATAAGTCAGATACGGATGTGGAACTAGTACAATCTTCAAGCTATCTAGGGCTGTAGCACCTAGGCTGTGTAGAATTTATTTTCTGCACAATTCTTAGTAAGAACTATTAGCAGTTCGCAAAGAATCCCCTTGCTATCGTATGTGCAACATTTCGTTTCGTGCTTTCCCGATGGACATGGGTGAATTCGAAGTGCAACCCTTTCCACAAGCAGCGGATTCTTTAGGTTGTGCGACAGCCGCAACGCGAGCGTTGCAGTTCCACTTTCTTGCTTCCTTCGACTGACGCACTTGCACTTCCGCTTTGGTCGGCGACCTCGCTCGGTGCTCAGCTTACCGTAAATACTGAAATTTGACGCAGCCATGGTTCGTAGTCCTCACCTTGTTTGCCTGGCGCTTGTACTTATCGTAGGTCGCTTGCAGTCGTAGGTCGTTTGTCGTCGTTGGTCGCTCTCTTAATGTGTTTCGGCTCCTTGGCCTCCATGTTTCTCGTCTGAACCGGGTAAGTTTTCCTGCGACCGCACTCACGCTCTCCGCACTTTGTTCTTCCGTCATCTTCCCTCGTCGCTCATTGCCTTCCTCCTCTGTCATCTCTCCTTCGCCTCTCTCGTTTTTCCACTCTCCTTTCCTTCTCGCCCCCCCGTCCGCTCGTCGCGAGCGTGCCAGACGACGTCGAAGCGCGTGGTGGAGCGCAAGAGCGCGCGGTTTCAGGGCAACATCGCGCGGCGAGGGAGCGTGCCGGAGACGGTGGCGAAGAAGGGCGACAAGTACCCCGTCAGCACCATCGTCATCGTCTTCTTCGTCTTCGTTGTTGTCGGCTCCGGTATGCCTTGCATGAACTGCGTTTTGTGCGCCTTGCACGGACTGATTCTTGTACGGTATGGGTGCACTTGCACGGATTGTGTCGTGCGTTTTCCGGAGATTTGACGAGTACTAGCTTCGCCAGCACGATGCAGCTATCCTCCTGTTCTGTGTTTTATCCGTTGTTGCTGCTTCGCAGTTGGGCTCCTTCGCTTCTGCTCCTTACCTCCCATGCCTTGCCTTCTTTTTTATCTTGACTCATCAGCTTCCCAGCCCGCTTCCCTCCTCCATGCCACAATTCCTCTGTGCTCTATCCCGTATTCATCTCACCTCTCGTTGCTCCTACTTCCCGTTCCCCTGCAGCTCTCTTCCAAATCATCCGTAATGCCCAGACACGCGCAGTTGACTAATAACCATGAGTTTGTCGTGAAACAGTTGCAACGGGTGCTAGTGATGATTACCTTCCAGTTGCAAACTTGGGGTCGGCGCTCGCCCCAAGGCTTGTGGGGCAGCCTGCGTTGCCTGCCTCATCTAGTTATGTTATGCCTTGTGTGTATGTAATGTGCATTTACCCTCAGTGATGTGAAAGACGTTTGTATGTCCTGATAGTTACACTGTATATCATGGTGTTCTGAATTGCACCAAGATCCCATATTCTTGGGATATGCGTCAGCCGAACCTCCCCATCACCTCATCCCGCCCAACTCTTCTCTGCCGCTCACAACAACTTCACTTCAGAATTCAGATCCCTTCACAACAACGAGCATCGCTGCCATCACACCGTAGCACCACGCCATACCATTAGCTCAGCGACACCGCCCGCGTGCTGAGGCTAGCGCGGCTCGTTGCCAGGCTTTTCGCGTGTTGTCGAGCGAGCCTCAGCCATGGCTTTGCCCATCGCGTGGGCCGCAGTCGGCGCCGGCACCATCGCGATGTCTCTGTTTAAAAGAGGCAAGAAGAAAGCTGGCGAGTCGTCCAATGCTGCGAATCCCCCGCTCTCACCCGACACTGAAGACAAGCCGTCACTGGATCCGCCGTCGCCGTCAGCTGTTGCGGAAACAGACGGCGGCCGGTACGACGCGTCCAGTGACGGCACGAGTGAAACGGCCGGCGGCGAGGGATCGAAGCTGCGGAGGAGGCGGGGGAAAGGGGAAGGCGGAGCTGAGGCGGGAGGGCCAGCGACGGAAGCGGACTCCCCGCGGGAGAATCGCGAAACTGCGGAACGCGGAGCAGTGAATAGCGCTGCGAGCGCGGTGAGTGACGACACTGGATCTGGGGAGGATTCGCGGCCGGCGGCCGCGGCGGCCGAGGGAGAAGATGCAGGCGATGAGGGGGGCAATGCAAGCGAATGCGAAGACGCGGAAGCGGCGGAAACTGCTGCGGAGGGAGCGGAGGACGAGCAGAGTGGCGGGGAGGTGGCTGGGGAACGGCGAGAACAAGTAGCGAAAGAGGAAGTTGTAGCAGCAGCAGAAGCAGCAGGAACAGCAGTGGAGGCGAATACAGCAGCAGTGAGTGCTTGCAGGTCGTCCGATGAGCCAGGAGCGCAAGGCACGCCTGACGCGCAAGGCAAGGAGACTGCTGCTGAATCCCCAACCAAGAGGGTGCAGGCCCCCACAGGGCCGCAGACGAAGCCGCGTCAGCAGCCACTGGGGGTGCTCGTCTTCTGGCTCGTTTTCATCACCCTCACGGGGCTTATAGCGGGGATATTTCTTCTGGCGCAGTTTCTGTTCCTGCAGGACGCGGGGCGGCGCGACTTCATCTCCATCCCGCCGCTCGTGCGCGCCCACCTGGACCGCGGCCAGACCATCAAAGTTGCCGCGCCCGGCGCCGTGGCTGGCGGAGCGGGTGGGCGCGGGCAGCAGGGGGAAGTAGAGGTGTTTGTGCGCGCGGAGGGGTGGGGGACAGGTCGGGGGAGGAAATGGGGCGCGGACGGCGGAGGTGGGGGGAGCGGTGGGGGGCAGGCAGGGGAGGGGCGGAGTAAGGAGGTGGTGGTGCTGCTGCATGGGCTGGGCGGCAGCTCGTTCCTGTACCGTGACGTCTTCACTCTCCTCGCTGACAGGGGGCTCAGAGCACTCGCCCTTGACCTCCCGGGTTCAGGGCTATCCACCAAAATAACCTCAGAAGAAGAGGGTGCAGCAGCAGTTTACCCCGTGCACCAGCTCGCGCGGATCCTAGACAGGGTGCTAGAGGCCCTTGGGATTGCCGAGCCGGTGCACCTGGTGCTGCATGACACGGGCGGCGTGGTCGGCACGCTGTGGGCGGCGGATAACGTGCAACGAGTGAGAAGCATAACTCTCATCGACACTCCAATGGAGGACCCCTTTGCTCCCGCCTTCCCCCCCGCCTGGCTCCTCCGCTACCCCCACCTCACTGCCCTCGCTGCCCGCTCTGTCTTCCCTGTTGCTGCCCTCCTTGCCTCGTGCTGCGTCAGCGCTCGCGTGGCCGATGACGTGGCGCGGGCCCACGCGTACCTGCTGCAGGCGCATGGGGGCATCCATGCTGCCATGCTGGCGCGCCAGCATGGCAATCTAACGCATGACATGGCGCGGACGGTGCAGCGGCATGCAGAGAGGGCGCTGGGCCGGGTGCCGAGGCAGCTGCTTTGGTCCGGCGAGGCGGAGGAGCAGGGCGAGGAGGTTCGGTCGCACTGGCCTCTGGCAGACTTCCACCTGCACGACGGCAAGCGCTGGCCCCAGGTGTGTGCTTTCACCTTATATATGAGGCACCTCAATCATTGGTCCGCAGGTGTGTGCTCGCAAATGTTGTATGGGGCACCTCTGATGTAGAACCTAGGTGTGTGTTCGCACTCGCATTTGCAGTGGGGCCCATGTCGTCTGTCGTCCCCACCCCTTTCACACACCACATTCGCCTCTCTCGCACTCTCTTTTAACTTATAGGTCTCTGCCCCTGGGCACCAGTGACACTAAGTGCATCCACATCACAGCACATCAGCTCACCTTCCTTCACTCTCCGTCCATCCTCCCCAAGCAGGAGGACCATCCAGGGGACATAGCCGAGGCGATTGCTAGGTTTGTAGCTGCCCAGCCTCCACTGCCTGCCTCATCGGGTACTAGAAGGGGTGGTGGGAAGGAGCACAGAGGCACGCCCACTGCTGCTGCTGCTGCTGGAAAAGCCAAAGGGGGGAGCGGACACCACCACCACCATGGTCATGCGCATGGGCATGAGCATGAGAACAGTCATGGGCATGGTTTAGGCTACATGGAGGATACCCAGGGCCCAGCTACAGGGCATGGTGGCTGGGTTATGTAACTTATTCCCAGGTACAAAGCGTTCTTCAAACTCCTAATTCCGTCATGAATTGTCCAGGCCCACTTATTGCAGGGTTTAGAACTTCCTTTATCTGTTTATTTTAAGCTATTGTACTTTTCTGCTATACGTGTATTCTGCTGACAGGGAAAGCCGAGTCCACGGGGGGCTGATAAGTCAAGGTGCAAGCGCAGTGTAAATATCGAGCTGCTAGCGACTCAAACCGCTCCACATCAGCTTCTACAAACATCATGCTCAACAGCGAAGCAGAGTGCCCACCGGAGACGAATCACGATTCAGAAGACTCCTTCAGCTCAGGATGATTTAGGTGACGTGGCGAGTCGTGATTCCACACGAGCTGGTGCACTCCTGCGCGACTCTGGTCTGATGGTGCACTGGCACTGGCACACACACTTGTTTCGAATCCCACCATCCGACTTCCCCACCCTGCAGTTGGCTCGATTCTGGTGTAGCTCCATTTTCAGACGCAGTAGTCCATGTTATCAGACCCGTCTTTGCAGCGTAGGCGCGGCGTAGACTAGGGGCTTCGTTCCTCCTGTCTGACATATTTGGAGGTTTGTGTACGCGATTCGGCATTCCTATTATTCATCCGTCTGCGGCGATGGCGGCGCATGCAGTGCGCTTGCCGACGACGGGCATGTCGATGCCGCTTCTTTTAACGGCGCCCCCAGCTCGTCAAATCTCATATATCTCCTTCAAGCGGGTCCCATTACGTCGAGGTACTTGCGACCATACCGTCCCTCGCCAGTTTCTCTCATAGTAGTCCTGAAAAACCGAATCCATGCGAGAGCGAGCTGAGCTAAGGATGCAGTTCTGCCTTCATTTTGAGAAAAAACACGAACTAATCGACGCTAACTCGTTCTTGCTTCACGCAGGGCGCTTGTTCATTCGTAGCGCGACCGAGCAAGAGAAGAAAGGTCAGTCATGCCTACACTAGCAATGCCTCGATATTGTCACATGCGCTTGTCTGCCACAGAATAGCCCAAGTGGCTTATCCCACTGCTTCCAATCACCTCTCCACCGCCTCTCCTTCCTCCCCGCGTCGCACGTCCCTGTAATTGGCAGCGCTAATCGTTTCCCCCAAGTCCGCGCCCCCCCCGTTGACCGACAAGTGGCGCGCGGCATTCTCGAAGGCAACGCAGCGATTGGTGGAGGTAGACGCGCGCGGGCAGCGGCAGGTGGTGCAGGCGGAGACGCAGAAGCAGCTCGCGGAAGACCGCGCGCGCGGGCGCTGGCAGGTCATGTGGGAGCGCACGCGCGAGTGGCTGGCGAAGGAGCGCGCGCGGGGGCGCGTGAAGGTGGCGCGGGCGCACGAGAAGGAAAAGGTGGAGGCGGAGAGAGCGGAGGGGCGGTGGGCGTTTGTGAAGGCGAAGGGGGAGCAGCGGATCACCGCGGCGCGGGTGCGCGGAATGTACGACGTGGCGCGCGCCAGGGCGAACGAGCGGCTTACTCAAGTCAGGGCGCAGGGACAGTGGCAGGTGGCATGGGCCAACGCGCGCAAGAGTCTCGCGCAAGCGGAAGGCACGGTCAAGGCGCGCAACGGTGTTGCGCAGGCGGAGGTGGACGCGCGCCTGGCGCAGGAGAAGGCGCGGGAGCGGTTGCAGGTGGCGAGCGCGCGTGAACGGGCGCGGATGGCGGAGGAGCAGGCCAAGGGGCGCGTGATGCTGGCGAGCGCGCGGAGGAACCGGCAGCTGGCGAAGGAGAGATTGCGCGGGCGCGTGAAGGTGGCGTGGGCAAAAGCCAAGGAGCGCATTGAGAAGGAGCGCGCCAAGGGGCGGTGGGCCGTGATGTGGGCCAAGGCGAACGAGGCGCTGGCGCGGGAAAGGACGCGCGGCAGATGGGACGTGCTCGTGGCGTCAACGAGGCAACGGCTGGTGGAGGTACGGGAGAAGGGGCGGCTTGATGTGGCGTGGAGTGGTTGGAAGTGGTTGGAGGAGCAGCAGTGGCCGAGAAGACAGAAGAGAATCGCCAGCCCTCTGTCGAAGTTGGGCAATGGCGCCAAGATCATCGACCTGTGATGCTGTGCGGTGCAATGCGGTGCGATGCGCTCAGATGTGCAGCTGGGGGTCCGTACGGTCTGGCTGGGGGTTTCCGTCTGCTGCGTCCGCTGTGTATCTAGTCGCTCTGCTATCTCCTTGGCAATCACTGAGTTGACTCAGAAAGACGGTTTCCTGGAGTGGGTCACTCCTGTGCCTCAACAACAGTCCTAGAGGCGCGTTCCTTATATGGGCCAGATTGCTGGACCGCACCAAGTGGCACCTATGGGTGGTTCAGGTCTCTGCTCCAGGGTTTGAAGTTCATGGCCTGCTGCCACCTAGCTACCTGTGCCTGCAGTGGCTGTCGCCCGTGACCCTCCCTCTAGCCTCTCCATGGTCTTCCTGCTCGACTGGCTTGCCTCCCCTCCCCATATCCCCTTCCCGCACACATCCCATGGTGAAACGTGGATGGTCTCTGCACTTGCACCAATGGCATCATTGTATTGCTAATAAGTCACCCTAGTGAGTCCTCAGGGTAGAAGCTTGCACCACGTGCAATCTACTCAGGTCCTCCTAGCATAAGAAACCATGAACTGGTGCGGAAGTGTCGATCTGGAATACGGTAGGTTATCCATCCCGCACCCCTATCCTTCTTCTGCAGGGCATACACCCTGGATTCATTACAAAAGCTTGCATTCACTCCGCGCTTGCATAAGTGGGTGTGGTGTGGTTGGGTTGGCCTGAACCGAATCACCACCACAAGCTGGGAGCAAGAAAGTGACCAGTGCGTTGGCTGCTGTATCATTTCAGTGCACATACCTGTACGTACCACAGAACATTGCAACAGTCTCCAAGCTTTCCACTGTTCCATCCATCTCCATGCATAAGCAAAGCATTACCGGTAGTACTGCTGCCGACCCCAGAAAGACCAGGGATGGTTGTTTACATAATAAGCCTTTTTAATGCATTCTTGCATCTCACAAGGCAGAATCCTTAGGCCAATAATGTAGAGAGATTTCATGTTTGATATTCCCAAAAGCCCTCGAGAATCTCCCAGAAGGCGGGAACAGGTGAACCGGACTGTCCAACCTCGAGACCAATGGGGGCAGCGGGTGAGGCGGGAGCAATTGATTCGACAAGATCGATGCCTGGCAGGCACGCGCGCAAATAGGCAATCCCTGAATTCCCGAGTGCCTGCTGGCAACCCTGGCCTCCAGTAGGAATTTGAAATCAGGAAATCCCGATAGAGTGCTGTATGTTCATATGTGACCTCACTGATGCTCTCAGAATTACATACAGCAGCTCTTAGAGTGGTATACGTGTGTGGCGGTTTTTGATAATTCAGATTCCATCTCCTTTAATAGTCGGGCAGGGCGCGTGCTGACCTCTACGCCGTTGCCATTGCAAAGGCTCTCGTTCTCGAATTAACGTACGCGCTTCCATATCCTCGTTGCGTTGCTTCCTCGACCACCGTCGACATTGCTGATGGAATCCCTGATTTCGCCGAGCCACGTCACCAGAGCAGCCGGCCTGAGTCAGTCACTGGTTCTCCCTCAAATTTCTCCTCATAGAGCAGCACGATCACGTCCAGGACCCGGCGCGCACATCACGGGAGCTGCTTGTGGTCCAGGAGGCCCTCACCCGACCTCCACCTTCAGCCCACGCAATGCGCTCACACGTTCTGTAGGACCGACCGCGCCGAGCCACGCAAGCTCTCGGACGGGCTTCGCAGCGACCTCCGGCGGGAGGAGCTTTGGAGGCGTGGCGCGGGGTGGAAGCTGCGGAGGAAAGGATCGTCGGAGTCGGAGTGAAATCGTTCGTGCAGCTGCGCAAGGGTCGGCGGTGGAGCAGCAGCAAGTCGATGGGTTGGTGCAAGATGGAGTGCCGCGCACGAGCAGCAACGGCACAGCAGGAGCTACAGACGAAGATATTCTGGTAACCAGCACAGCTAGGAACTACGGTACTCACGAGTCTCCAGTTTTTCCTAGCATCGTGCCTCTCGGCCTTCATCCACACGACTCAATTAATCCCGTTTCCTCCCAGCTTGCCGCACATCACACGCCGTGATCCTCTCATTCGTAGAGTTCTCCGTGAAGGAAAAACCCGCTGTGCACCTGCACTATCGCTGTGCGTGCAGGCAGTGCTCCTGCTGCCAGAGCAACGATAGATGAGCGCGCGTGCAATACGAGTGAATTCATATTCTATACGTCCCGATCTGCAGGCGTCAATTCCCGCGCTCGGCGCGACGCTGGACGACCACGGGGGCTGCGTCTTCCGCGTGTGGGCTCCGCACCCTCAGCGCGCCACCTTAGTTGTCAAGCGCCTCTCGCCCGCCCGCGCTGGCGCTGGTGGCGGTGACGCGGAAGGCGCGGCAGCAGAAGGCGAGAGGGTGGAGATGGGGCGCGACGGCAACGTGTGGTTCGCGCGAGTTCCGAACGTCGTTGCCGTGAGTGCGCCATGCTGCATGACGTGGACATGATGGTCATGATTGCGGCGACAAGGACGCGGCTAGCGTTCCTCGCGACTTTGAATGACTGCGATTCCAGCACCAGCGGAGCATGGTTTTCTTCCCCTTCAGCTACCTCGCTTCTGCCTCACTTACTGTGCCTTTTTGCGTTTTCCTCGCGCCTTGCCTGTGCGTCTCGCACCCATCATGCTCCAGGGCGACAGGTACCACTTTGTGTTCGAGTGGGAGGGCAAGACACTGGAGAGGCGGGACGCGAGGGCGCGCGCGACGGACTACGAGAGCAACGACTGCATCGTCGTGGACCCGCGCTTCACGTGGACCCCGTTTGAGCCACCCCCGTTTGAGGCTCTCAATATTTATCAGCTGCACGTTGGCGCTTTCACTGGGTGAGGCATGGGTGGAAGGATTGGTGATTGATGTCTGTATGGGCGGATGGTGGATGGATGAATGTTGATAGCTGGATTTATTGATGGATACTGATATGGGTGGAATGCGGTGGGATACAATGAAATAGATGCCTGTTCATGTGGCCGAGAAATGACAAATGTGCTCGTGCACGGAACTAAGCCATGGACATTGAATCAGCCATGGCACCGAGTGTGTGACGCCATGTGCCCCATGCCCTGTGCTCCGTGCCTGACACGTGCAGGCGACTGCTGGGTGGAGGCAACTTCGCTGCGCTCAAGGAGAAGCTGCCGTACATCAAGAGCCTTGGGTTCAACGCCATTCAGGTCAGTCATATCCAGGGACTGCGAGGCAGGGGGCAATGGGCGGCAGGAGATGATGGGAGGCGGGGAGCCTGAGTGGATGCGGATCAGAGATGAGCGGAGGTTGTGAAGTGAAGGATAATAATCATACCGCCTGTGTGGTGCGTGCAGATGCTGCCAGTGCACGAGTACTGTGGGCAGTGGGGCTACAACCCCCGCCTGCTCTTCGCCCCCCACCCCTTCTACGGCACCCCCCTGGAGCTCCGAGAGCTGGTCGATGCCGCCCATTCCCAAGGTGAGGCTCGCTGGTGCACGGTGCGTGGTTATATTGGGGGGCTGCACCTGGGTAGCAGGAGTACTGTTCCTCAACCATCACATACCACATGCTGTGCCGCTCCTTTACCTCCTTGCACATGACATGCCAACCCATGCGATCATGCCATCGCGTCCCATTGCATGTCGTACGTGCCATGTGCCATGTGCCATGTGCCATGTGCAGGCATGGCGGTCATATTTGACGTGGTGCTGCACCATCTGGCGCCCAACCTCAACAGGTGCGCACATAGGCCGCATGCGCGACCAGGAGGGGGGGGTGTGGACTGTGGCTTGTGGATTGTGGGTGCTTGCACCGCACGCTCATACCCTGCACCGCATGCACATACTCTGCACCGCCCGCTCATACGCTGCACCGCATGCACATACTCTGCACCGCCCGCTCATACGCTGCACCGCACGTTCATACGCTGCACCGCACGCTCATACGCTGCACCGCACGCTCATACGCTGCACCGCACGCTCATACGCTGCACCGCACGCTCATACGCTGCACCGCACGCTCATACGCTGCACCGCACGCTCATACGCTGCAGCGCACGCTCATACGCTGCACCGCACGCACGTACACTGCACCGCACGCTCATACGCTGCACCGCACGCTCATACGCTGCACCGCAAGCTCATACGCTGCACCGCACGCTCATACGCTGCACTGCACGCTCATACGCTGCACCGCACGCTCATACGCTGCACCTCACGCTCATACGCTGCACCGCACGCTCATACGCTGCACCGCACGCTCATACGCTGCACCGCACGCTCATACGCTGCACCGCTCGCTCATACGCTGCACCGCACGCTCATACGCTGGAACTCCCGCTCATACGCTGCACCGCACGCTCATACGCTGCACCGCACGCTCATACGCTGCACCGCACGCACATACGTGGCACCGCACGCTCATACGCTGCACCGCACGCTCATACGCTGCACCGCACGCTCATACGCTGCACCGCACGCTCATACGCTGCACCGCACGCTCATACAATGCACTGCCCGCTCATACGCTGCACCACCCGCTCATCCGCTGCACCGCACGCTCATACGCTGTACCGCTCGCTCATACGCTGTACCGCTCGCTCATACGCTACACCGCACGCTCATACGCTGCACCGCACGCTCATACGCTGCACCGCACCCTCATACGCTGCACCGCACGCTCATACGTTGCACCGCACGCTCATACGCTGCACCGCACGCTCATACGCTGCACCGCACGCTCATACGCTGCACCTCACGCTCATACGCTGCACCGCACGCTCATACGCTGCACCGCACGCTCATACACTGCACCGCACGCTCATACGCTGCACCGCACGCACATACGCTGCACCGCACGCTCATACGCTGCACCGCACGGTCATACGCTGCACCGCCCGCTCATACGCTGCACCGCACGCTCATAAACTGCACCGCACGCACATACGCTGCACCGCACGCGCATACGCTCATACGCTGCACCGCACGCTCATACGCTGCACCGCACGCACATACGCTGCACCGCACGCTCATACGCTGCACCGCACGCTCATACGCTGCACCACGTGCTCATACGCTGCACCGCACCCTCATACGCTGCACCACACGCTCATACACTGCACCGCACGCTCATACACTGCACCGCACGCTCATACACTGCACCACACGCACATACGCTGCACCGCACGCTCATACGCTGCACCGCACGCACATATGCTGCACCGCACGCTCATACGCTGCACCGCACGCTCATACGCTGCACCGCCCGCTCATACGCTGCACCGCACGCTCATACGCTGCACCGCCCGCTCATACGCTGCTCCGCCCGCTCATACGCTGCACCGCCCGCTCATTCGCTGCACCGCACGCTCATACGCTGCACAGCACGCACATTCCCTGCACAGCACGCTTATACGCTGCACCGCACACACATACATTGCACCGCACGCTCATACGCTGCACCGCACGCTCATACGTTGCACCGCACGCACATACGCTGCACCGCACGCTCATACGCTGCACCGCACGCTCATACGCTGCACCGCACGCTCATACACTGCACCGCACGCACATACGCTGCACCGCACGCTCATACACTGCACCGCACGCTCATACGCTGCACCGCACGCTCATACGCTGCACCGCACGCTCATACGCTGCACTGCACGCACATACGCTGCACCGCACGCTCATACACTGCACCGCACACTCATACACTGCACCGCACGCTCATACACTGCACCGCACGCTCATACACTGCACCGCCCGCTCATACGCTGGACCGCACGCTCATACGCTGGACCGCACGCTCATACGCTGCACCGCCCGCTCATACGCTGCTCCGCCCACTCATACGCTGCACCGCCCGCTCATACGCTGCACCGCCCGCTCATACGCTGCACCGCCCGCTCATACGCTGCACCGCCCGCTCATACGCTGCACCGCACGCACGTCTGTCAGTTTGTCAGTCTTGAGACGGAAGAGTGCTTATGTTTCCCGGTGCTGACAGGCCTTGCATGGAGAATTTCCGTCGATTCGTCTAAACGTACTAATAAACTTCTATCTCCGTCATCCTGCAACCCATTCGATTGAATCTCCTGCTCCCCCAGATCCTCTCTCCCTCAACTCGCCTTGGTGCGTGCGTGTCTGTCCAATTCCCCCCTCATTCCTTGGCAGCCTGTGGGAGTATGATGGGCCCACCAAGAAGGGAGGTGAGTTCAAACAACTCTGCCTGAACGTTCATTCATTGCCAAGATCTGCCCAACGAGTTGCTTCCCTCTCTACACACCAGTGTCCCATCCTTCCAGACTCCGCTCACATCAACTTTCTCCCATTGCCCCCAGATCTCCTCGCATCTCCCCACATCTCCCCACATCTCCCCACATCTCCCCACATCTCCCCACATCTCCCCACATCTCCCCACATCTCCCCACATCTCCCCACATCTCCTCGCATCTCACACCCCATCTCCTTCCGCCATCTCCGTGCACCCACGTCCATCAGGGCTGTACTTTGAGGGGGGTGGCGACTCATCATGGGGCAAGACCTTCGCGTGGTGGCAGCAGGAGGTGAAGGACATGGTGCTGGATGCCGCTCGCCTCTTCCTCAATGAGTACAACGGTGCGTTGTGCGCCTGCTTCCCCACCAACCCATGCGCTGCCATGCCATGCCATGAGATGCAATCGCATGCCATGCAGTGCTCGCAATCCATCAACTACAATAGTTCCATTACAGTTATTGCGTGTGCATGCGGTGACTGCAGATTCTCTGTACTCTACCCGTCGTCTCGTCATGAGTCTGCCGTGTCACGCCTATGCACGCTCCTCCTTTGTCATGAGCATACCAGGATCCAGGGACCTCTGCCCGCCCTGCCCCCTCCTCCCGTTCCTCACTGCCACCACCACCCTCCCCCCCCACCTATCCCCCCTTCTTTTCCCCCTGGGCGCACAGGCGATGGGTTGCGGTTTGACTGTGTGCACGCCATGCCATGGAAGGTGTCGCAGAGCCTCACGTGGCACCTGCACCGCGAATTCCCCCACCGCATCCTCATCTCCGGTACGGGGCGCTGCTGCCACGCACGCACTCCTCACGCGCACTCCTTGCCTGCACTCCCCACCTGCACTCCCCACCTGCACTCCCCACTCCCCACCTGCACTCCCCACCTGCACTCCCCACCTGCACTCCCCACCTGCACTCCCCACCTGCACTCCCCACCTGCACTCCTCTCCCTGCTGTGTGCACGTGCAGAGATCACACCTGAGGTACCAGAGGTGGTGTCAGAGGCGGGGTACGACGCCACGTGGATGCACACGTCCTTCTACAAGATGCGCTCCTTCATGCTCTCCGATGGCCCCCGCCCCCTGGGCCGCCTGCAGGCGCTGCTCACCCTGCTGCCCGGCTACTCCAAGTCAACGCAGGTCAACGCCCCTCCTGCCCTCGCTGCCTGTCGTGTGCTACTCTCTGCCTTCTCTCCGTGCCGGGCGAGTTGGAGACTGCGCTGGCTGGGGGGCGCGCACACAGACGCATGCACACAGAGCTGTGTTCGCCGTTGCCTGTCGGAGCTCTATCTTCATTCCAGTTCTACCCCGTCATGCATTATGCCGGCGAATCCGTCTTATCCATTTCATCCACTGCTCATGTCAGCACTTTGGCTTCATGCTGTTGGTTCAAGTCAGAATTTGAGAATAATATCTTACTTCAAATCTAAACTCCGACATGACAACCCTCAAAATGTGCTGTGAATGATGGCAGTGTGTGAAGTACTTCCTGGGGTCGCACGACCAGGTCGGGTGCCGGAGAGACGGCAGATATGACGATGAAATACAGGGTTACCACAGGTAGGGAGACACACAGGTATGGTGAGACACAAGGTTAGCAAGTGTGTGAAAACTCTGCACAGGCATGAGGCATGTGGATGGCCGGTGTGACATGGCATCACCACAACTCCTGAATCACAAGTTTCTCATACCCCTATGAGCTGTGCTGCTCTCCTACTATCTCCAGTCTCTCTTTGCTCTCCCCTCATGCCCTCTCGCCTCACCGCCTAGTGACACCTGTTGCCGCTCCACCACCACCCTCCTTCCCACCTCCCCTTCTGCCATCAGGTACGCAGTGGACCTATTTGGAGGCCGTGAGGATTGGACTGCTCGCGCCAAAGTGCGCATGTGGTTCGCCTGCCAGGTGCCACTTCACCCCCTGCCTTGCATCCCATCCCCTGAACCTTGCATCCCAGTCAAGTGCACTCTGGACTTGAGGGTCGTCAATTGCAGTGCATAGATAGTGCAGGAGATGCAGTCGCTTCAGCCAGGATTGCAGGATTTCGTGTAGGCGAACATCGTCATGCATCTCACCTCCACCTCTTCTGCCTGATGCATGCACGTGACATGCCATGTTGTGCTTTTGTTACGCCAGGTGTGCGCACAGGGCATACCAATGACGTTCATGGGGTCGGAGACCATGCACCCCAGGTGGTGGGGGGTCACTCCCAGAGACATGCTCGACTGGCAGTACACTGGTGAGCACACCTCCCCTCCCCATGCATGCACCCCTCGCGTGCACTCCTCGCGTGCACCCCTCGCGTGCACCCCTCGCGTGCACCCCTCGCGTGCACCCCTCGCGTGCACCCCTCGCGTGCACCCCTCGCGTGCACTCCTCGCGTGCACCCCTCGCGTGCACTCCTCGCGTGCACCCCTCGCGTGCACCCCTCGCGTGCACCCCTCGCGTGCACCCCTCGCGTGCACCCCTCGCGTGCACCCCTCGCGTGCACCCCTCTCGTGCACCCCTCGCGTGCACCCCTCGCGTGCACCCCTCGCGTGCACTCCTTACCTACAAACAAGCGCTGGTCACACCAATTTCAGAACACACACTCGTCCCACCACCCCGCGCCACTCACACCTCCCTCTCCCCGTCTGCCCCCGTGCGGCACATCCCAGAGGACGCGGTGGGGCAGCAGATGCAGGCGCTGGTGCGGGCGGCGAACGGGCTGCGGGCGGGGAGTGCAGCGCTGCAGCGAGGGGCGTTTGAGACGGTGCACTACGACGAGGCCAACTGTGTCATCGCCTTCAAGCGCCAGGTGTGTGCTCTCGCCCTGCTCTCCATGCAAGGCGTTGCTTGACATCCAGGCACTGTTCTCTCAGCAGGCACTGCTCGAGGTACTGTTGGGCCTAATTGTGGCCCGAATTTAACTCACCTCCCCCTCTTTCGGAACAGACTGAGAGCGAGACACTCCTGGTGGTGGTGAATGCGGGCGAGGCCCAGTGGGAGAAGGCCGACTATGGCGTGCGGGTGGGCGGCGGTGATCGGCCGTATGTGGAGGTGTTTAACTCGCAAGATGCCGAGTATGGGGGGTGGGCCACGTCTGGCAATGCTGGCAAGCAGCTGACCCCCAACCATGGCAAGCTCTTCATCAACCTGCCCAAGTGGGGCGTACTGGTCTTTAGACCCGCGGAATAGCAACCGGTACTACGCCACAGCATTGACTGAAGGCGAAATGAAACTTCTCACTCAAAAAAGTAACTTCTTTCATGTGAAAAATGCATAGGAGTGTATAAATGCCCGCTCAAAGATTATGAGGAAACTCATGGTTTAATGCCACCATTTATGAATATGGACAAATGTCCTCATTGAAGTTTTTTTTAATCTCTGTGAACTACTAACCTGGTTTGGGTGGCGTTATTCACAAGGTAGGCGCGTGTACATCGTATGGCCACTTGAGAATCACCAGTTTCTCCAGGTGCCTGTAACGGGTGGCCGCGGAACATTCGAGGCGACCTGGAAACTAGGCAGCCATCCACCACACGCGCGCGCATCATGCTCCGCCCATAACGGCGCCAACCTCACGCGCACCCCACGAAGGAGAGGCGGGCAGGCATGTGGAAGCGAGAAGAAATCACCGTTCCCCACCCCACCCCACTCCACCCCACCCCAGCCCTCACCGCCCCTTCTACGCTACACCAGCAGTGCTAACCTGTGCGCTGCTGCCCCCCCTTCCCCTCCTAGCTTCCGCCCTCACCCGTCGTTACTACCATGACCATGACATGCTCACCTGCTTGTGCTGCTACCACTTTTCTGCCCTAACCCGGATGTTATCAGTCGCAGGGAGCTATCGCCGAGTGTGAACGGATGAATCTTACTTCCTGCTCGTCCTAAAAACCGATTAGGTCACGATAACCCTTGATTGGCTGTGCAACGATAATTCGCCCGAAACGTTTCATCTTGCGTGCACCGGAAGCCGTGCAGCGCGGGGAGCGAGAGGCCCGTGCGAGCGGGTGAGGAGATGCTTGCGCCGTTCTAGAGAATGCCGTCGCCCGGCGAGCCGCTAGAGCTGCCTGACCCTGCCTGCCTGAGGCGCTCGAAACGCGCACCCAGAGCTGCGTGACGCTCGTGACCCTCGAACCTAGGACGTCGCTTAACCGAGTTTGCGGAATTGGCGGGCCGCTTTGCGAGCTCGTCGAGCGACCTGGTGGTGCCTTGCAGCAGCAAATCGCTCGTATCTGCGCGTCGCGTGTCGTGGGTATCTAGGCTCGTGCTGGACGCACATAATCGCATTGCGAAGTGTTAGGAGCGATCGTACGACGTGTTAGAAAACCGTTTGTTTTCTTAGAAAGCTAAAAGCTTCGTATCGCGGTGCGCGAGTGAGACGGCGCGATGGCGGGGCTGGCGAAGATGAAGAAGAAGCTGCTGCCGCTGCAGACGGGCGGCGGCGTGCGCGCGCCTGACTCGGGCGGCGTGGGGGAAATGCCCGCCATGGCCAACGACCCGTACGCGTCGTATAAGGTGAACTCGATATCCGTTACAAGTGATGCGGGGCCGCGAATGCCGGAAGCCGTGTCGCACAATTTGCTCCTTGTCATTTCGTTTTTCTTCCACAATCAAAATTCCTGGTTGCCACGGTGCCATTCTGCGTCGCGGGTGCGACTATCGCTCGTTGACATTTCCTCTCCCCCTCTATGTGCTTCTGTGTTATGCATTCCGCAGCACGCGTAGATCGAGCTTTGAGACGTCACTTCTCTAGAACTCGAGGCGTCACCTGTCGAGCAATCAAGGCTTCGCTTATCCAGTACTCACTACCCAGATCCCGATTCCATTTACATCCATGCGTCCCCGTGGCAGGTCAGCGAGGAAGGGCACATCAACCTAATGAGTCAGTCTTTTAACGAGTACGCGATCAGCGAGCAGGGGTTGCAGGTGAACAAGGAGGGGCAGCATTCAGAGGACAGCAGCGCGGGCGGCGAGAAGACGTACCGCTGTGCTTCTAACGAGATGCTCGTCTTCGGCGCGATCGGTTCGGGGGCGAGCAGCGTTGTGTGTAAAGCCATTCACATACCCACGCATCGCCTGCTCGCCCTAAAAAAAGTCAACGTCTTTGAAAAGGTCAGCTCTTCGTGCTCACGCGCCCTCCTCCTCGCCCCTCCCGCTCCCCTCCTCCCCCTTCTCAGTTCCTCTCCTCATCCTTCACCCCACCATCGCCATCACTACAACCATCCGCCAGCCCCCCTTCATTACCTCCACTCCCCTTCACTTCCCCCATTTCGTCCTTCCTCTCCCCCTCCCCCGCCTATCCACACACTCCCTCCTCCCCTTCCTCCTCCCCCTTCCCCGCGTCCCCCCTGCGCGAGCAGGACAAGCGGCACCAGCTGCTGAACGAGATCCGCACGCTGTGCGAGGCGCCAGCAGCGCCGGGGCTGGTGGAGTTCTACGGCGCGTTCTACCAGCCCGACAGCGGGCAGATCAACATCGCCCTCGAATACATGGACGGCGGGTCGCTCGCGGACGTCGTGCAGGTCACGAAAACAATCCCCGAGGACGTGCTGTCGGCCATCACGCGGCGCGTGCTGCAGGGCATGCAGTTTCTGCACACGGACCGGCGCATGGTGCATCGGGACATCAAGCCCGCCAACCTGCTGCTGAACCTGAATGGCGTGCCCAAGATCACCGACTTTGGTATCAGCACCGGCCTCGACCACTCCCTCGCCATGGTGCGCTCCTCACCTGCCCTCTGCTTCTGCGCCGCTCCTGTCCCTGTGTCGGACTGTGCTGCTGGATTGCTCTGCGCTGTGCTGCTCTCTGCCTCCCCATTGCGCGCACAGCTTCCCCCCAGTCGCCCTCAACTGCTCCATCCCTGTCCTCCAACCTCCATGTCTCGCTCGCCCTCCTCTCTTTACTCTACCTTTCCTATCACTCTTCTCACCCCTTCAAGCCATCTCTCCGCCCCCTCCCCCTCCCGCCACCCAGTGTGCAACGTTCGTGGGAACAGTGACGTACATGTCACCGGAGCGCATAGCGAATCAGAACTACTCTTTCCCCGCTGACATCTGGAGCCTGGGGCTCGCGCTGCTGGAGTGCGGCACGGGCACCTTCCCCTACACGGCTGATAAAGGGCCCATCAACCTCATGCTGCAGGTAGCACCTTCCCCTACACGGCTGATAAAGGGCCCATCAACCTCATGCTGCAGGTAGCACCTTCCCCTACACGGCTGATAAAGGGCCCATCAACCTCATGCTGCAGGTAGCACCTTGCCCTACACGGCTGATAAAGGGCCCATCAACCTCATGCTGCAGGTAGCACCTTCCCCTACACGGCTGATAAAGGGCCCATCAACCTCATGCTGCAGGTAGCACCTTCCCCTACACGGCTGATAAAGGGCCCATCAACCTCATGCTGCAGGTAGCACCTTCCCCTACACGGCTGATAAAGGGCCCATCAACCTCATGCTGCAGGTAGCACCTTCCCCTACACGGCTGATAAAGGGCCCATCAACCTCATGCTGCAGGTAGCTAGCACCTTCCCCTACACGGCTGATAAAGGGCCCATCAACCTCATGCTGCAGGTAGCACCTTGCTGATAATCCCCCCTGTGCTTTTCTCATTCTCCGCCTCACGCCACTCCCCTCATCACCTCCCACACCGCTTCTCACTTACACCACCCATCCCTCCCACACCCCGCCTCCTCCCCCCAACTGTTCCGCTCCTGTTCCTCATGAACCCTCTGACCCACGCCTCAATTCCAATCCTACCTTTCTGTGGCTCATCATGGCCGTGGTGCCATGGTGATGGACGACCCACACCCACACTGCCGCCCAGGTACTCAGCGGAGTTCCCCCCCACTCTACTCACAACCCCCTTATTCCCACTTCCAACCCCCTCTGCCCCCTCTCCCCTCTCTCCCACGGCGGGCATGGCATGGCAGGTGATGGAGGACCCGGCGCCCACACTGCCGCCCGGGTACTCAGCGGAGTTCCAGTCGTTCGTCAACGACAGCCTTGAGAAGGATCCCTTCCAGCGCCCCACTGCTGAAGTTGTGAGTCACGCACTGCCGTGCTCAGCAGCTGAAGTTGTGAGTGGTGCACTGCGGTGCTCAGGGGTGCTCCGTGAAGTAGGCAAGAGGAGGATGTGGTGCTGTGTGTGGGATTGAGGCAGCTTGCCAGCTCCATATTGGACAAACTACCTTCTGCTTTCCCTGCTCCTCGCCCTCCTCTATCTCCCACCCACAACCACCCAAGCAACTACCTGACCCGTCACACCACACACCCCTCCCTCTCCTTCCCCCTCTTTTTCCCTCGCCCACTGCTTCCCACCTCCCTCCCGCGCCCCCCCCTCTTGTCCCTGGTGGGCGAGAGCAGCTGCTGCAGCACCCGTTCATAACGAAGCATGCGGAGGAGGACGTGGACCTGGCGGGGTACATCCAGAACGTGGTCAACCCCACCGAGCGCCTCAAAGACCTCTCCAATGTCCGTCATGCCGCCGCCTCAAGCACACCTCTGCATGCACCGCCACTCAACCCAGCTGTCTGAATTTCCAAACTTTTCTCCCCTTAGGACCCTGCCACCTGTTACCTCCCTCCCTTCCTCTCTCCAACGCATCCTTGCTGCTTTCTTTCAAGCTCAGTTTGTGAATGCCACTTCTGCATGTGCGTGGCTGTGTGTGTGTGTGCGGCGCACAGATGCTGATGGTGCATTACTACATGCTGTTTGACGGGCCGGACAAGATGTGGCCGCACATAGAGAGCTTCTACAAGCCCGACGCCACCCTCATGTACGTGTGCTGTGCTGTGCTGTGCTGTGCTGTGCTGTGCTGTGCTGTGCTGTGCTGTGCTGTGCTGTGCTGTGCTGTGCTGTGCTGTGCTGTGCTGTGCTGTGCTGTGCTGTGGGGCGGGCCACTCTCATCTCATGTAAGCCAGGGGTGTGCACATGCCGCCCGCCTGACAGCATGAACGCATGTGGCCGCACATAGAGAGCTTCTACAAGCCCGACGCCACCCTCATGTACGTGTGCTGTGCTGTGCTGTGCTGTGCTGTGCTGTGCTGTGCTGTGCTGTGCTGTGCTGTGCTGTGCTGTGCTGTGGGGCGGGCCACTCTCATCTCATGTAAGCCAGGGGTGTGCACATGCCGCCCGCCTGACAGCATGAACGCATGTGGCCGCACATAGAGAGCTTCTACAAGCCCGACGCCACCCTCATGTACGTGTGCTGTGCTGTGCTGTGCTGTGCTGTGCTGTGCTGTGCTGTGCTGTGCTGTGCTGTGCTGTGCTGTGCTGTGCTGTGCTGTGCTGTGCTGTGCTGTGCTGTGGGGCGGGCCACTCTCATCTCATGTAAGCCAGGGGTGTGCACATGCCGCCCGCCTGACAGCATGAACGCATGTGGCCGCACATAGAGAGCTTCTACAAGCCTGACGCCACCCTCATGTAAGCCAGGGGCCAGGGGCCAGGGGCGTGCCCTCCGCATGTAGCTACGGCTGTGACACATGCGTGCCCGCCTCACAGCATGAAGTGAAAGCATGCCTTGCACCAGCACCTCACTTGACTCTTCTCCATGCCACTCACTGCCACCACCCCACCCATTCCACATCGCACTACCCCACACAAGCCTCTCCTACCCCCTCCAACTCACCCCATTCTCCTCACTGTCCTATCTCACCCTCTTCCCCTCCCCCGCCATCCACCCCCGCCTCTCGTCCTCCCGCCCATGCAGGTTCGGCCACCGGGTGTACACGGGGGGAGAGCAGATATTCGCGACGCTGACGTCGATCCGCACCATGATGCTGGGAGAGGCCAAGTCGGAGCGCCTCGTGCACACCATCGAGAACCTCGAGTGCTGCGCCTACGGCCGCCGCGGCGTCATGGTGCGCGTGTCCGGCGCGCTCGTGGTCGGGCGGCAGTTCATCCCGCCGCCCGGCATGCAGGTGGAGGGCATCACGAGCGGGGGGGCGACGGGGTACAAGGGGCATGGGAAGAAGCTGGGAAGCTTCATAGAGCTGTTTGTGATCGAGCCTGGGGAGGCGTCGGGGTCGTACCTGGTGGCCAAGCAGGAGCTGTATGTGCAGAAGTGACGGGGAGCAGGAGCCGTATGTCTAGAAGAGAAGGGAGAACGGATGTTTGTGGGATTGGATGGGGCAGACAGACAGACCCCTTGGGTGTGGGTGCTGCGCTGGGATGAAGGGCAAGCCTGGTGGCATTGGGTGCAGTAGCGGCATAATGAGTGGTTGTCTCGGTGCACGCAATGAAGGAGGGACTATTCGCATGGAGGCCATTTGGAATGTGAATGCTCCCTGCTATGTTCCTCATGGAGTAATATACAGCAACTGAGCAACAATGGAGAGTTGATAGGCACCAAGAGCGGGAAGCTAGGTGAAGGCATAATCATATCTGGATGCCTAAATTGCGTAAGGTGGTGACTGATCAATGGTGGAAGAACCAATGTACGGTATCAGTTGGACATACCGTAGCAGCAGTGATACGTTCTGTCATCCACTCTGAACATTTCATTGTACGGTACAAGCAAAAAATAGCTATTTTTGCAACTAATGAAGGGTCCCCCCAGCGTATCCCCTGGTTCCTCGTCTGATCGCACATCGACCCGCTTTGCTGGAAGGCATCATCAGTTACCGGGCCGAGGAGGTCCATGTGCAAGCTAAGTCTAATGACTAGGAAACTAGGTAGCCTTTTCCTCCTGCTCACACCTTCCATAGCAGTTTCTCGTCGGTTTGCATGTCTGCATTCACTCGCTTCTGTGCACATACGTAACAGGGAACAATCGCAAATCATTAATATACAAAGCCTACTATACATCGCGGATCACCAAGCCATGACCTAGCCTAACTACATCGTAGCACTACAGGAGCATCCTATGCGCCCCAGCGGGAGGCTTATCATCACATTACGCCCGCACGCCCCATTCCAGCAGGCATGCGGAGCAACCAGCCGTTGGCGCAGCCGCTGTCGGCTTGCTGCATTTCCCCGACCGCCATGCACCCCCCCTGCACGTTTTCCCCCGACTGCTCCATCGATACCTCCGCGCCCCACACTTCCGCAGCGCCCGCCCATGCCCGCTCCGCCTCCGCCGCTGCGGCGACGCTGGACGGACTGCCCAGCGACAAGCTTAAATCGCAGCCGTCCATTTCGGAGGACGATCGCGACAGCGCGACCGCAGCACCCGCGTGCTCCGAGCTCGCGGGGGAGGCGGAGCCGTACGGGGAGAATGCGGAGCGCACCGCCAGGTCCGCGAGGCTCTTGAAGGAGTCGATCGACTCCAGCCGCGGGGGCGACGGTGCTCCAACGGACGACTGAGATCCGTTCCGCGAGGGGCAGTCGAGGAAATGGAAGAACGGTCCGGACTGTTCGGACTGAGAAGCAGAGGCGTGAACGTGGTTGCGAGCGGACGAGGCGTCTGTTTGAACCATCCGCGCCATGTGCGCCGCGATCGCGATCTCGTCTTCCGACAGCCCTGACGACTGCGAAAAAACGTCAACTGACGCGTCGTCGGGCTGGTTACCACCATCGCGACTCTTCGCGGCGGTCACCTGCGGGACCTGCGCGCGCGTGGACTTGAACTGCAGCTCGATGGCGGACGCGTTTTGGCGCAAGGCGGCTGGCCAATGGGCGTCGTGTTCGACGAAAGGCAGCCATTCGGGCGGCAGAGAGTTGATGGTGGCCGCCTGCTTGAGCGTCGTCGCCCAGCCCCACGCTTCCCCGCGCGCCATTCCTGCACGATCAAATGCGCCTCTGGTTCCGTGCGATCCTGCTGGAAATACTAAAGCTGACGAGCGGCTTGTGTGTAGATGAATCTGTGGTGTTTCTGTTGCGGATGAGTCTGGAATGTAATGAAAGGCGGATATGGAATATGTGTGTGTGTGGGAGGGCTGATGAGTCGGTGCATGTGTCGGTTCGGCTTGGTTGTGCAGTCTCACGGAGCAAGGGATGACTCTCCCCACAAACGGCCTTGGAGTTTGGCTTGGCGCGTGATTTGTCTTTCGCCTCGCCACTGCACGCCACGACACGCTGAGCGCAGCTGCGCTTCGGCGAGGGGGCTGGCACTTGCTTCCAAAATCAGCGCGCCTCGATGTTTGCTCGCGAGGGGGTGGGAATTTGGGAAACATGCGGACCCGTCAGGTTGGAATTGGGTTTCGGTTGGTTGAGGCAGCGGTGTTGGCGGCAGGCGGTGGTCCAATGCAGGTGGCAGGTGATGAATGGCCAGCCAGAAATGTTGTCGCAAAACTTTCTGTAATCTGCGCGGGATGCGGGAAACGGGTCTGGCGCCATCAGGTTTGCGGAGGGGTCCTTCAGGTGGTCCCGCAAAGTACCGGACCACTCAGTAAGTACAACGCTTAGTGAATTCATGGCTTCAACTCCACCACGCAAAGTGGACTAAATGGTGTTGCTTAGTCAGGGTAGTCTCCCAAACATATATCGTTTGATATGAGTCTTTGACTGTAGTTTTCCTTTTTGGTAGCGTTGCTCAAGCATATGTCGTTTCATAAAGCATTTTGGGACATACAGAGTCGTCTTGTAACGGGTTTCGCGCCATCAAGGGGCAATGTTCGTCTTCTGTGTTTCTAGGCACTCCCTTCCATCATCGCTAGGCCCCATGTTCACTTCACGAATCCCTACACGTCAACTGCACCCATGGCAGGTGGCACAGAAAGCCATAGCAGCCGATCAGTTAGCCCAGTCTCCGTTACCGCACTCCACCAAAACCCTTGTCGGCACGAGCGAGAAGCACTGTCGCGCCACAGTTCTCAGCCTGTGCAGGCAAACGCCGCCTCCCAGCCGGCTTGTGCGCTTGCGACCCCGCAATGTGCCGTCAGCGAGTAACGGGAGTTTTTTTTCCACCCAGGATCGCGCGGAAGAACGCGCGGCGTATTGGCGGAGCGAGGAGAGCGCTCGAGATGGTATAGCCCTTAGTAGCCCTTCGTTTCCGTCAGCTCTTACTGGTCTGCCCTAGCTCGCATTCGCAACACGCCCCCCCTCTCCCCTCTCGCTTCTGCGTGACTTGGCCGTACCCTTTCCAATTTCCCCGACTGCCTCCCTCCAGGCGCGTTGCTGGTCGACCCCTACGCCGGTCTGCTGACCGCGGCGGAGCGATCAGAGCGGGAGAGAGAATCAGGGGGACAAGGGGACGCGGGAGATGATGCGGAGAAGGCGGCGGGGGAGGCGGCGTCGTATCTGGTGGCAACGCGGTTCCTGGACGACGCGATTGAAGAGGCGGTGGCGCAGCTGGTGGGCGGCACAGAGGAGGTCCGCCAGGTAGCGTCGTGTGACTGCTGCTCGCACCCATGGCATGCCAGCACCCTCGTCCCTCACTCGCAGATGCTTGTTGTCTGGCTCTGATTGAAGCGGCGGCACCATTGCAGGTTGTTCTTCTAGCGGATGGGTGTGACACGCGTCCGTACCGCATGGCGTGGCCGCGCCCCATGGTGGTGTTTGACGTGTCACCTGCTGCGCCTTACACCGCCTGCCACAAGCTCCTCCTTGGTGAGCCACCTGCACTCACGCCTGCCTTGCCCATCCAGCCCTCCCGCTCTAGACCTCATTCCCAGCACTTGATTTATGAATGAATTTCATTCTGTCTCCTTTGCTCCCTTTCTCTCAGAGGCTGGAGCGCGGCCAGCCTGTGGATCGGTGGTACTCCACGTGTCAGCTGACCTGTCCACCGGAGAGGACTGGCGGGACGAAGGTTGGGGCGAGAAGCTGCAGAGGCTTGGATACAGAGGAGACAGGCCGAGCCTTTGGGTGGTGCAGGTGCGGTCTAAAGCTTCTGCAACAGAGCGCATGGCGTCCCTCCCATGAGCTGTCCACATTTCCTTGTGCCTGTTCGTCTCACCCATACCTCCCCTACCTTTTCCCCTTCCAGGGGTTGCCCCACCTGTCACCGTCAGGCCTGAAGACCATTTTGGGTCACTTGCAGGGGCTGCTCATGGCAGGCTGCCAAGTAATTGGGGAGCTGCCCTTGCAGGCCATCGCTCCCCAGGCGGCTGTTGGTGGTGCTGCAACAGACTCACGGGAGGACTCTTTGGTTTCTGTCGCTGCTCTCTCCTCCCTGTTTGCCTCTCATGGGCTTCTGGCTGAAGTGCAATCAATTGCCTCAATCGCTGACCTGTATGCTCAGCAGTGCCCCACAGCCTGCCATCTCCTAGATCATTTGGAAGGGTCTGATGGGCCAGCACCGAGAAATATGATGCTGTTTTCGGCAACACAGCAGCGAATGTCAGATGCACAGGTGAGAATGCTAGAGTCAATGGCAAAGCTAGTGTCACGCTAGTTATGGAGACAGCGCAGTTACCATGCCACCCCAACTGATGCCAATTCATGCTTCTCTTGAATCATCCAGGTCGAGCTTCTAACAGAAGAGATGCGCATCGCAGAGGCATGGGGCGATGAAGAAGGCTTTGAGGACCTATCTTGAGAGTTCTCTTCACTAATAAGCATGCTCAAGTATGTTATTGATTGTTGTTCTGAAATGATTGGTGTACGATGGTTTCTTGGAGCGCAGAAATATCGAATCACCGAAAGAGTTCGTCCTTTCTGACAGACTTTCGCACAACTTCTGTAACACATTGGGGAGAGACAAATGCCTTGCAGCGATTTGGTGGTGTCGCTTCGTATAGGGATCACCACATAGAGTCGATGGCGAATGCCACGTGTGCGGTCCTCACAACCTGGGACTCCCCGCGCCCGCGGTCAACCTTGGTGTTGTCAGCAACGGAACAAGGCTGGTTGCCAGTGCTCTCCTCGATAGGCTGACCAGGCATTTTCCGACGAATCGCAGATGCTGTAGGTTGAGAATGTGGGACCAGTTGGGGCCTTGACAATCTACATATGATCAACCCACCTTCAAGCTGCATCGATCTTATTGAACTGTCCCACCTCAAGTTCCTCTCAAGCCACCTCTGTATCCTGTGGATTCAGCTCCAGTAGTCTGTGGTTTAGCTCCAGAATCACGCAAAATCATGGCGAACCAACGCACTGTTGCGGCTCATCCGTGGCACGACTTGGAAATTGGTACGGACTGCTTTAGTAGCAAGCTTGGCCGATCGTATACTATCTTCCAGGCCCAGAAGCTGCTGGTCAAGTTCGCGTACTGACATTTTTGCCCCATCGCATCGTATTCTCCAGGTCCAGAAGCTCCTACTATCTTCAACGTTGTCGTAGAAATCTCTAAGGGAAGCAAAGTCAAGTACGAGCTCGACAAGAAGTCCGGCCTTATCAAGGTACGCTTGCTTGTTCCGTCAGATCTAAGTTCCTAGAGATCCAAGTCCGGCCTCACTCTTTTTTCCCTCACTCTTTTGTTATCTTGTGTCATATTCTTCAATTCATATCTGTTCCATCATTTTTTGCAGGTCGACCGGATTCTTTACTCTTCGGTGGTGTACCCTCACAACTACGGGTTCATCCCGAGGACTCTCTGCGACGACAACGACCCAATGGATGTCCTCGTCTTGATGCAGGTATGCATCGGTCGATGAGTAGGCAGTTCCAACTTGACCCATGAAACACTCACCCGGAATCACATATTATGCTCGAAACGGATAAATATATCGCGAATCTGATACCAGGCGTGAATCCAATCAGGACATGGGGGTGTTTTCATCAGGATTGACCTTCATTGGATAATTTTTGTATCCCTCTTTTCATTCCAACAGGAGCCAGTGATTCCTGGATGCTTCCTTCGCGCCAGGGCCATTGGGCTTATGCCTATGATTGATCAGGTTAGTGGTCTTTTTCGTATTGTGACGGAACTTGTGTGATTGCATTCCGTATCCTACCACGAGATTGACGAGCTGACACGTGCCTTCAATTCAGGGAGAGATGGACGACAAGATCATTGCTGTGTGCGCCGACGACCCAGAGTACAAGCACTTCAAGTCTATTGACGAGCTTCCGAGGCACAGACTGCAAGAGATCAAGCGTTTCTTTGAGGACTACAAGAAGAACGAGAATAAGGAAGTCGCAGTCAACACTTTCCTCGGCGCCACGGAAGCCATTGAAGCTGTGAAGAAATCCATGTAAGCTCATCAGCAGCGTTCCTTACCCTGCAACATGTTCTCAAAACTCATTCGTGTTTGAGTTTGACAACCTTGGCTGCTGATAGTCTCTTTTCGTTGTAAACTGCTTCTGCTTCCCATGCTTCCCCTTCCGAGCACCTCTCTACGTTCCTTTCAATTTCAAGCCTTTGCATATTCAAACCCCCTTACTCCATCCCTCTTCCTCCCTGTCCTCCCCTTACCCGCTCAGTCTCTCTCTCTTTATCTCCCCCCCTTTCTCTGTCTCCCTCGTTTCATCCTCGTTCCCCTGAATTCCCCCCCTCTCCCTCAACTTTCCGTCACGTTAACTAGCTGTCCAGACTCTACTAATTCTAGTATCGTTTTGTTTCCTGCCTTGACTTCTTTGTTTCATTACACAGGGATTTGTATGGCCAATACATCCTGGACAGCTTGCACAAGTAACCGCTGGCTTATGCATATCTGTTTGTTACATTAGATTATAATGCAAGTTCTACCCTCTCCTTTGCAACGTTTCACCAAGAGCTACATCATTGGAAACACTGAACCCATGCATTTTAAGCAAGCTGAACTACAACCACGCCAATCTTCATAATAGCACTGAGGTGGCTCAAACACTTGTCAGTAGCAGTCCATAGAGTTTGTACACAGAAAAAACATGCCAAGAGAGCCCATGACAGAGCATATTCTTAGGATCATCAATATGTGATGTTCCTGAGCACATTCTATGTTCCATTGTTGCATTCTCTTCTCCCCCTCTACATTGAAAAAGTAGGTAAGTACAGTTCAATTCACAAGACATACAGACTATTCTGCCAGCTGGGGGCTGTGTTCCCCCCATACTAATCATGGCAAACATTTACCCTTGCAGCAAGAATAAGGGAGCTGGCTATTACCATGCTCACGGGACCGCAGACTGCTCAGTATCACACAGCAGAGAATGCCTGGTCACCAGATCCTAACTGAATCTCCCTCACTGCTGCCCGCAACATGTCCCGCTGAGATTGGTCCACCTGCCCTTCCGCCTGCTCCCAATCACACACACACGAAGCGCAAAGCAGAGCAAAGGGAGGACGTTATGAGAAAGATGTAAACGCTAACATGTTGCGTACCGAGGCAGTGTCTGTGAGGCGCACTCACCATGAGCGAGTCGAGGTACTCACCATGAGCGAGTCGAGGTACTCACCATGAGCGAGTCGAGGTACTCACCATGAGCGAGTCGAGGTACTCACCATGAGCGAGTCGAGGTACTCACCATGAGCGAGTCGAGGTACTCACCATGAGCGAGTCGAGGTACTCACCATGAGCGAGTCGAGGTACTCACCATGAGCGAGTCGAGGTACTCACCATGAGCGAGTCGAGGTACTCACCATGAGCGAGTCGAGGTACTCACCATGAGCGAGTCGAGGTACTCACCATGAGCGAGTCGAGGTACTCACCATGAGCGAGTCGAGGTACTCACCATGAGCGAGTCGAGGTACTCACCATGAGCGAGTCGAGGTACTCACCATGAGCGAGTCGAGGTACTCACCATGAGCGAGTCGAGGTACTCACCATGAGCGAGTCGAGGTACTCACCATGAGCGAGTCGAGGTACTCACCATGAGCGAGTCGAGGTACTCACCATGAGCGAGTCGAGGTACTCACCATGAGCGAGTCGAGGTACTCACCATGAGCGAGTCGAGGTACTCACCATGAGCGAGTCGAGGTACTCACCATGAGCGAGTCGAGGTACTCACCATGAGCGAGTCGAGGTACTCACCATGAGCGAGTCGAGGTACTCACCATGAGCGAGTCGAGGTACTCTGCTTGCTCTGCGAGCTGCTGCTTCCACACGGCAATGGCCTCGTCCCTCTCCCTCATCGCCTCCATTGCCTCCTTCAGCGACAGCACCTCCGCCACCAGCTCCTCTCGTTGCTGCACACACACACACGTCACCAGCGGGCATGAGTGACAGACACAGGAGGGCAGCAGGTGCCAGGGCCGAGAGGGTTGAGGCGCAGAAGAGTGAAGAAAGCACGAGGCGATTGGGGGCCAGGGGAGGAGAGAGTGAGAGGGTGGGAGGGTGAGGCTGGTTTAAAAGACGATCCACCACAACCAGCACACTGATCCTGCGAGCGCAGCGCAGGGAAAGCGCACCTGCTGTTCCTGCAGGGACTTCTTGCGCGCTTTGAAGATGCTCTCACTGATGTCCTCCGCTGTGCGCCGTGCCTCCTCCACCTCCGCCGCCAGCTCATCCGCCCGCCGCCGCGCCGCCTCCAGCTCTGCTATCAGCTTCTGTGGATCCTGCCTGCTCCGTGCAGGGGACAGGGGGTGGAATTTGGGATGGGATGGGGTGGTGGAGAGGGAAGGTTAGAGAAAGTGGTGGGGCTTTGAGGTGCAGGGATCAAGAAAAGACGAAGTGGCAGAAAGGGCAAAATGAGGTTGACAGTGAATGCCGTGCCCCATGCATGCCATGCCATGCCATGCCATGCAGGTGAATCGTTCAACTCTGCATGTACAGATAGGCATGTGGACCATGTTCCCATGTCATCCCCCACTGCACCACCCTCCCTGCAGCAGTCGTGGCACTCACTTGAGCAGGCCTGGCAGCCCGCCTCCCGAGCCGCCAGCAGTGAGGGCGTCAGCCAGCTCGGCCTCCCTCCTCTCCGCCGCCTCCAGCTCCTCGTTCAGATCCGCTATGCGCATCACCAGCCCCGTCACCTGCTTGCGCGGGAGACACACCGCAGGGGGGATGCATAGGCAGGGGGGGAGCAAGCCACGTTTTGGAATGCACGAGGGACGAGCAGCAACGGGGGAAGGCTGCATGCACACCATTCATCATCCATCAACGCACCTCTCCCCCCTTTCTGTTACAAAAGAAACCACAACCCCCATTCATTTCCTTCCCTCCACTCCCCCCCCCCATCCTGCTTCCAAAAACCCTTCGCCCACCTGGCCAGCGAACGCCTCAGCCTCGGCGTTGGCGGCGTCCTCGCGGGCGGCGAGCAGAGCCACCTGCGTGCTGAGCTCCTCGATGCGCTGGTTGGCCGCCGCCAGCGCCTGCTTGGACGCCTGCTCGCGCTCGCGCAGCGCCGCCACCTGCCCCAGGAACAGCCCCACACACTCGTCCACCGTTGCCCCCAGCGCCCTCCGCGTCTCCTCCACCTCCTCCTCCACGCGCCTCTGCTCCTCCCGCTCTTGCGGCGTTTGTGGGGGTGACGCGGGGGTGGTGGAGGGTGGGGAGAGCTGCTGGGCGATGAAGGAGGAGGGGGGGAGGGCCGTGCCGTTGACGGAGGAGGTTGATGAGGGCGATGAGCGCACCTGCAAAAGGGTGAGGCAGTGGGGTGTGAGTGAGAGCACGGCGGGGGTTGGACAGGACAGGGCGTTTGGCATCAGCTATCGGCATGGGCATGGGCTTGAGCTAAAGTTTCATGCAACGCCAGCAGCACTCACGGGCACGGGTTCAGCAGTGCGAGAGTCAAACACCACCGCAGCATCCCACGGCGCCGCACTGTCCCTCTGCCCAGCCCCCCCTCTGCCTCTCTCCGCCGCAGCACTCCTCTCCTCTGCCGCAGCCAGTCGCTCGCTCATCTCAGCCAGCCGCTCATAAGCCGCCTTGGCAGCCGCCTTAGCAGCGGCCTCGCGCTGCTCCACGTCCTCCACCTGGCGGAACAGCTCCTCCACGCGCGCATTCGCCCGCATGGCCGCCTCCACCGCCGCCGCCTCGCTCTCCTCCACCAGCGCCAGCTTGCGACTCGCCGCCTCTGCTTCCCGCACCGCCACGGCTTCCCGCTGCTGCACCGCCGCCACCTCGCTGTGCAGCTCCGCCACGCGCGCGTCTGCTCGCTGTGCCAGCGCCTGGGCCTCCTCCTCGCGCTCGATCAGCTCCGACACGCGTGTCGACAGGAACGAGATGTGGTCGTTCGCCGTCTGCAGCGCCTCCTGCAGCTCTGTTTCCCGCCGGGTGAGGTTCACGATCTGCTCCGACAGCAGCCCGATGCGCCGGTTCGCCGCGTCGATCTCCTGCCGCGTGCCGGCGTCCCGCGCCTGCAGCGCCCCCACCTGCCCGCTCACCGCCTCGTACCGCCGGATCGCCTCGTCTGCCGCCGCCTCGCGCTCGCGCAGCTTCGCCACCTCCTTGGATATCTCCCCCACCGACCGCTCCGCCGTCGCTGCTGCCGCCTTGGCGGCCTCTAAGTCGCTCACCAGCGCGTCCACACGCACCTCCAGTGCATCCGCCCGCTCGCGTGCCGTCCTCTCGCTGTCCCTGATCTCCGCCTCGCGCGCCGCCGCCTCCTCCAGCTGCTCCGACAGCACGGCGACTCGTTCAAGAGCGGCGCGAGTGGCGGCCTCGGCCTGCGCCTCCTTGCGCTTGAGCTCCGCCACCTTGCTGTTGAGCTCCTCCAGCCGCTCCTTGATGTCGCCCACCGACCCCAGCCCCTGCAGCTCCGAGGCCATGCTCTCGTACCGCCGCTGCGCCTCCTCCGCCACCTGCTTCGCCGATGCCTCCTTGCGCCCCAGCTCCTCCACGCGCCGCAGGATGGCAAAGTACCGCCGGTCCGCTGCGCGCGCGGACGTGCGCGACTTCTTCTCGCTGTCGCGGATGGCGCTGAGCTGGCGCAGGAAGAACTCGTTGCGGTCTGTGGCGGCCTGCAGGGCAGCGCGCGTCTGCGACAGCAGCCCCTCCAGCTCCACCACGCGCCCCACCAGCTCCCCCGCCTCCTCCGCGGTCAGCGCCTGCACGCGCCCGGCCTGCACGTCGCGGCGCCGCTCCTCGGCCTGGCGGTCGGCGTCCTCAGCCACGCGGCGGCGCTGCTCGTCCAGCTCCCTCAGCAGCGCCTCCACTCGCCGCTCCGCCACGCGCGCGTGCTTGCGCGCCGCCTCCTCGCGCGCCTTGAGCGCCGTGACCTGGCGGAAGAAGAAGTCGATTCGGTCCTTGGCTGCTGCTGCCGCCGCGTCCGCTGTCTGCACGCGCGAGTTGGCGCCCTCCAACATCATCTGATGGAGGGGTTGGTTTGGCAGAAGGAAAACAGGGAGTGAGCGAGAGGAGAACGAGCGGGAAGAGTGGGGTGGGTTGTTGTTTGGTAATGGAGGGCACGGTGCAAGAGGGAGGGAGAGACGGCCCCAGTGGTGACTGTTTCCGTGAACGTTGAATGCTCTTCTCACCTTGAGTGATCTGACTTCATCGCTGCTCCCACTGCTGCCAGGACCTCCTCTTGCTCCTCCTGCTGCCTCTGCTGCTGCCTGCATAGCGCAGCACAGCACAGCACAGAAGCACCACAGAGAAGCCGGGCAGAATGGGGAGCAGGAGGAATGAGGGAGCGAGAGGCAATGGGAAGCGCCATGAGAGTTGTCTGCTAATGCGACAGCTACTGCACCCTCACGTGTGCTGCCCTCCCCACCCCACCCACGTGCTGCCCTCCCCACCCACGTGCTGCCCTCCCCACCCACGTGCTGCCCTCCCCACCCCACCCTCGCTCTGTCTCTCTGTGCCCACCTCGCACTGGCCACGTGCAAGCCACACCCACTTTCGCACCCACTCACCCACGCACCCGCCCACAAGCCCCTCCCCCAATCCTTCCCCCCCTCCACCCCACCTGGCACAGCTGGTGCACGAGGGAGTGGTCACCTGGCACAGCTGGTGCACGAGGGAGTGGTCAGCAGCGAGGCGGTGGCGGAAGCGGTCAGCCGCCACGCGCGCCAGAGCCACCTGCCAGTCGTTGGCGTGCGTGCCGCCCTCCTTCGCCGCCAGCCGCCGCCGAAACTCCTCCTGCGTCAGCTGCAGCACTCGCTTGCTGTCGCCCGCACTCAGACTGTCCCTCAACTGCTCCCGAGCCACGGGGGAAGGGGGGAGAGGGAGTGGGTCGCACTTGATAAAGGCACGGGCATAATGGCGTAGCGAGTAAAACAGGAAGTGGGTGGGGAGACGAGCATGTGGTGGTGACGGGGGCATTAGCAGAGCGGGAAGCACTGGAGAGATGGCACGGGAGGGGGTGTGAATATGAAGGTCAGAATTAGCTGACACTGTTCCTCAGAAAGCAATTGTTGATTTTTTTGAATCAGGGGAGCAAGACGGCGAGGGTTAAGGGTGCAGAGGGGGCAGAGGGGGAGGTGGGGGGCAGTGGCGTGGGTGGAGCTGATGTCACACTTGGTCACACGCATGGGTGAGAGAGGGTGAGTGAGAGAGGGTGAGTGAGAGAGGGTGAGTGAGAGAGAGACGACAGCAAACCGCCATTCTGGAGTGGCAGTGGAGCAGCGCGCACAGGAGGCGCGCAGCACGCACTGGGGCGATGCGGCAGCAGGCACGGGCAGGGCGAGTGGGACTGGACGGGGGCGGGGAGAGGGTGGGCATAGGTGGCATGGCATGGCATGGCAGGGGAGGGGGCGGGCGGGGCGCGCACCTTCTCCCACGGCAGCATGTAGGGGTTGATTGAGGGGCGCACCGCCTTGAGCGCCGCGAGCGCGGCGTCCACCGCCTGGCCGCGCACCAGCGTCAGGTACCTGCGCGCGTGCACACAAGGGGAAGGGGTGGGGGGGATGGGGTGGGTGGGTGAAGGGGAGTGGCAGGGTAGTACGGGAAAAGAGAAGGGGAGTGACATGGAAACAGGGAGCGACGAGGGGTGAGGAGGGGTGAGGAGTGGCGAGGAGGGGCGTACCCGAGGGCGAGGAGGGGCGAGGAGGGGCGTACCCGAGGGCGACGAGGGGCGTACCCGAGGGAGACGAGGGGCGTACCCGAGGGAGACGAGGGGCGTACCCGAGGGAGACGAGGGGCGTACCCGAGGGAGACGAGGGGCGTACCCGAGGGAGACGAGGGGCGTACCCGAGGGCGACGAGGGGTGCCTTGTCGTTGCCGGAGGAGCAGCACACGTGCACCGTGTAGCCCCGCGATAGCAGCAGATCCACGGCTGAGATGGCGCGCGGCAACGCCATGTCCTGCGGGATGCACGGCACGCGCACGTGCGCATGGGGCGGCGGATGGGCGGCAAATAGGCGACAGATGGGGATGGGGTGCAGGCATGGCGCAAGGGCGGGCATGGCGCAAGGGCGGGCATGGCGCAAGGGCGGGCATGGCGCAAAGGCGGGCATGGCGCAAGGGTGGGCATGGCGCAAGGGCGGGCATGGCGCAAGGGCGGGCATGGCGCAAGGGCGGGCATGGCGGGCGGGCATGGCGTGTGGTATGCGGGCCAAGGCAGTCCGTGATTGCGCGCTCCTCACACGCTCCTCCTGCTGCCGCCTCTCGGCACAAGAAGACTGCGCGTAGCTCCGCTGAGCATGCAAGCGCGCAGATGGTTGGTTCGTGGTTCATTCTTCACGCGTTCATTGCCGTGTGTCGCTCGTTCACTCACCGCACTTTCTTATTCCTTCTCCCCACAACCCTACTCTCATCCCCATCCACCCCAGCCCCTCTTCTCATATCCTCTCCCCCATACCCCCTCCTCTTCTCATTCCACCTTCCCCCTCCCCTTCCCCCCGTCACCACACACTCCCCTCTACCCCCCTCCGCACCTGTTCGTCCTGGTTAACGTCAGCGAGCGCCAGGCTGACGGCCACCATGCCCATGGCCTGCGCGCGCTCCGCCACCCGCACCCACTCCTCCTGCCGCGCCCCGCCCTCCTGCACACAACGGCGGCGGACGTAGGGGGGAGGACAGAGGGGGAAAGGGGGAGGGGAAAGGAGTGAAAAAAATAAGTAGTGAATACCCCAGCAGCAGCAAGGCGAGAAGGGAGAGTGGCGCGAGGCAGAGTAGCTGACTCACCTCAACGCAGAGCACCGCATTCACCCCCGCCCGTGTCGCGAGCGCCTCGAGCGCGACCTGGTCGCGCGGAGTGGTGCCGATGAGAATGTTTGGCGCCACGGCGTTCCACTCCACGCCGCCTGCTCACAACCCCCGCACAACGCAATCGCACTTCATCATGCCAGGTCATTCAACGAGAAAAAACGAACGACTCCGGACATTACGCGGCCACTGCCATACAGCATAGCGCGCTAACCAGTTTCGTACATCTCAGCGGGTATATTACAAAGTTCGCGCCTCGCTTAGACTGTCGTACGGCGTAAGAGCAAACTCTCACCTGTCCCTCCGCTTCCGCTTGATGCGAATTGCGCCACGACGAGTCGCGCTGAACCATTTTCGTTCCGGTCGTGCCGCGTTATGCGCGATCGATGCGACAGATGTAGGCGACACTTCCTTGACGACGAACTAAAGCGAAATCGCAGGTGGGAGCTTCGCGAAAGGAGGTTGGATTGGTTAACAGCGACGGAGGGGAAAGATGGCTCTGGGGACACGAGAGCGCAAATGGTGCCACGTCGGATTAAGGACGTGGATGGGGTTAATGTGACGGCCGCCATGCGGAGTGCGAGCGTGATCTAGGGCGGAACGGGTGCCGGGATTTAGGGAAGAAGGTGAGCGATGACAGAGAGGAGTGCGTTACGAGATACGCGCTGGACCCATGGTGTCGTCGGAACGATTTCGCATCGCCGTGTTATCGACTTGGGTGCAGCTGCCGCCACGCCAGGGCTGCGATGGTGCGATCACGACGGCCTAAGCTGTTCCGAAGGAGGGATCAGCGTCGCGGACTGCTCCAAGTTTTTTCCACAGACGAAGTTAAATAAAAAACCTGGGGACTTCCGAAACCTTGGCAGTGACACTTCTTGAGCGACGAAGCGCCTCGTGCAACCAACGGCTTCTAAAACGCAAATAAATTATGAGTGAGGGTGCGTTGAGGTGAAGCGGACGAACGACCGCGCGAAGGGCCGCAATCACGCCCATCCGTGGGACCGGGGGGCGGAAGCGGACGCTGAAGCCGCGCTGTGCCGAAACGTGACAAGTGCGAATGTTTTGGATGTGAAAAGCACATGATGACGTGGCAAATCTGTCAGCATTGATCAGCTCGAGATCCTTTCAGTTTTGGCAGCGTGGCGAATTCGAGCCACACTTTCCCGATGGATGGGATCAGCGGCTAGGCTTCATCGCGGGCAGGGTGTAAAGCCACTGATGCCACGTCAGGTTTTTTCCCGCTCATTACCAGCTTACAACTGACTTCCCATCTGCCCGTAATCCAAGATCAATTCATTGAAGCTGACACCATCTCAACACACGATTCGACAACTGAGGGTTCGGTCTTCGATTTAGGTGAGCCTGTTGGGCGTGTTTTTGTCGTCGCTAACCATTTACGTGCTACTCGCAAAAAGAGTTCAAACGAAAACTCCAGCCGTATGGTTAGCGACGACAAAAACACGCCCTAGTTTGAAAGCATTATCCGAAAGCACGGGCAGGGGCGGCACCACATGTGGGTTTGGTCACAAATCGTTGCCACGTGGAAGCCCCTGGTGGGCCAATTCACTCCCAACTCAGCGCAGATCTGGCGCGCGAAGGGGTGGTTCTGCGACAACTCAGTGGAGCGGCCATTACGACAGAGTTTGTCGCAGAATCGCGTACACATATCAGCTTCACCAGCAGTGAGCGCTCTCACAAGAGAAGACTCTTATATATTTCTCTTGGGTTGGACCCTTGAGAGGCCACTAACACATATCCTTTGAAGCTACTTTCTGTTATCGTATTCGTCACCTATCGGGATCAATATGGCGTCGCCGTATGTATCGCAGGTACGTGGCACGTGTCTCGCGCGCAATGAGCTGCCGCCAGTCAGTCCCTTCGCCCGTCAGCCAGCCCAATGCAGTCGCCGCGTGTGTTCACTCGACGGCCCGCACGCTCCTCCACTGCAGCTCAGCGATCGCCACATGTTTCCAACTTAGTCTGCACCACTCCATTTCCTCCCCTTCCCCCAAACCACGTCCCTTCCCCGTTGCCTCCGCCAGTCTCTCTTGCTGCCCGCCAAACTCAATGGCGCCTCGCGAGTGCTGCTTTCCCCCAAGCCCTTGGCTCAAGTTCCGCGCGGCCGCGCGCGCGGAAGCGGCGTGGTGCGCGCATCCGTGAGCGTGCTGGACGAGGCGGAACGCGAGCTGCAGCGCAAGTCGATGGCGGAGCTGCGCGCCCTGGCCAAGGCGCGGGGGCTGCGCGGAGATACCAAGGCGGAGCTCGTGGAGCAGCTGCTGCTGTGAGTCACCACGTGCTATGGCGTGGCGTGCCGTGGCGTGCTGCGCGTGCGCACGGCTCGCACGGCAGTTGTCGGCCAGTCGCGCGCCTCTGTTTCCCCCACACCGTTCACGCACCTTTCACAACCCCCTTCTTTCCCTACCCCCGTTTCACTGCCATCGGCGCTCCGCCCTCCGCCTTCTGCCCTCAGTCCATTCCCCGCGCCTGTCTTCCCTCCCCCTCCCGCTCCCCGCCCTTTCAGATCAGGCGCGGCCTCACTCGCTTACTCCGCTCCCCCGCAACCACCCGCCCCCCCGGCCGTGGTGCCGGGCGGCGCGGACGGAATGACGCAGCTGCTGGAGAAGATGCCGCTTCCGCAGCTGCGCGAGCTCGCGCGCGAGCGGGGCTCGCGGTCGTCCACGCGCGCGGACATCCTGAGAGACCTGCGCCTGTACGCATGGGGCGATAGGGGGGAAGGGGAAGGGGGGTTGGGAGCAGCAGAGGGCGTGGAAGGTGAATGCGATGTTGCGTCGTGCTCATACCGCCATGGCGTTGCTTCGCTCTCAGACCCATCCGCCATCCGCCCCCTCAGTTCCTGCTCCCTTGTACCCTTCTTCCCCTCCTCGCCTCTTTGCGTGCACTCGATTTCATTTTCTCTCCCCCCCTCCTCCATCCCCCTTCTCCCCCTCCAGCATAATGGCCGGACAGCCCCTGCCCAAGCCTCCCCCGCCACCCGCGCCTGTCATCCCCCCGCCCTCCCCCTCGCCCGCGCCCCCAGCCTCCCCGCCCGCTGCCGCACAAGGCGTGTCTGCACCTGCGCGGGCTCCACCAGCAGCCGCGGCGGGCGCAGGCGGAGGGGCAGGAGCGCGGGAAAAGGAGCTGCTGGGGCTGGGCCTGGCGGAGCTGCGGCAGATGGCGCGCGCGCAGGGCGTGCGCGGGGACACCAAGGCGCAAATCGTCGCCGCGCTGCTGTCAGTGCCGGGGGGTTTGGGGCTATGGGCGGAACCACGGAGGGGGGTGGGGTTGGGGGGAGAGAGCGGGGGAGGAGAGGGTGGGGATTTGTGATTCGCGCAGTGCCGTGCGTGCACTCGTGCCTGACATGCGTGCATGCCTCGTCGCCTCTCCTCCCCATTCCTCCCCCGTCTGCCCATCCCCGAAGCTCACATGCGCGCCCCTCGTCCCCCACACGCCCCGCCTGCCCTCCGCAGAGCCCAGCAGGCCGCCACGCCAGTCAAGGCCAAACCGCCCTCCCCACAACCCGCTGCCCCTGCCGTCTCCGCCTCTCCTGCTCCCGCGGCCGCCAAACCTGCTCCCAAGCCTGCTGCTCCCAAACCTGCTGCTCCCAAACCTGCTGCTGTCAAGGCTGCAGCAGGCGGGGAGAAGGCGGCGGGCGAGAAGGGGGAGGTGGAGCGGGCGTTGGAGGCGATGGATATGGGCGAGCTGCGGTACCTGGCGAGGGAGAGAGGGCTCAAGGGCGACACCAAGGACGAACTCGTCAAGGCCCTCGCGTGAGTCGCCCCCCCCATGCACACGCACACACGTTATCTGCCACCCTCTCCCCGCCTCCTGCCCGCTCGCCACCTTCCCCCCATCCTGCGCCTCCCCCTGCTGCCTTCCCGCCCCCATCTCATCCCCTCCCTCCCCTCCTCACCCCGCCGTCTCCGCTCCCCCAGCGAGGGTCCCCCCCCCACGTTGGGGTTCATCGGGCTGCCTCCGCCCTCCGCCCCCCGCCGCCGCCGCATGCCCAAGTTCCGCGCGCCCCCTAAAGACACCCCCACGCCCGCCGCTGCTGGTGCAGCGGGCGCTGAGCAGGCGGAGGGGGAGCAGGAGAAGGCGCAGGTGGAGGTGGCGGCGGTAGTGGAGGAGGCGAGGGAGGCAGAGGTGGCAGCAGGGGAGGCGTTGCTGCCGCCCTTCCAGTCCACTGCTGCACCTGACTCCCCTTCGCCCGCCCCGGTGCTGCCCGTGACTGTGAGTGCACCAACGTCCTCCCCACCCAAGCTCATAATGGAATAGCAGCGATCCTGAAGAAAACGCTTCAGCAACTTGAAGGAACGAAACGATACAACTTCCCAGAAATTCAATGAGGTACAAGAAATTCCACCTCGCTCGTTCACTTCCCTGGCTCCTCCTCAACCACCCCCCTCTTCCCTTCCCCTCCCCCCCCCTCCCTTTCCCCCTCTCCCCCCTCCCCCCAGCAGCCGGGGGAGATGGCAGGGGAGGTGGCGCGGCTGAGGGAGGCGGTGGCGGGGATGAGGGGGGAGGTGGAGGAGGAGGCGAGGCGGGTGAAGGGGGAGAGTGAGGAGGAGCGCAACAGCAAGTACCTGCGCAGTGCCGTCATCGGGGGCGTGGGGCTCGCGCTGCTGCCGCTGCTGCTGCCCGCCCTCATCTCTGCCGTCCGCCAACCAGCCCCTCCCCCTCAGGTACGCCTCCCCCTCAGGTACGCCTCCCCCTCAGGTACGCCTCCCCCTCAGGTGCGCCCTCCCCCTCAGGTACGCCTCCCCCTCAGGTGCGCCCTCCCCCTCAGGTACGCCTCCCCCTCAGGTGCGCCCTCCCCTCAGGTACGCCCCCACTCAGGTACGCCTCCCTCTCAGGTCACCTAAGTTTGAGCACAGGGACGGGGGCGTGGGGGCATGGGTGCAAGAGTGTTCAAGAGCAAGAGCACACAGCATGGGGACGGGGTTGGGCGGACCCAGGGGCACATGGCAGTGCAGTGAGTCTCGGGGCAGAGCCACCCCATGAGCCCCCCAACCACTGCCTGTCTTCTTCATGCTCCCCACACCTGCCACTCCACTCGCCACACTATCCGCCCCGGCTGCACGGCACCTGCCCAACCACCACCCACTCGCCACCAACACCCCTTCCTCTTTCCCCCCCTCATCGCCCCCTTCACCCCCTGGGTGAACAGGCACGGGTGGAGCTGGCGTCAGAGACAGCAGTGCTGCTGCAGTCGCTGCTGGCAGCCGAGTCGTCCTCGCTGGCGGAGCTCAAGGCCCTCGTGCCCCTCATCGCCCCCGACCTTGACGACGCCACCCGCGCCGACCGCGCCGCCATGTTCTGCCAGGCCGTGCCGCCCGCCTCCCGCTCCCCCCAGGCTGACCGCTTCTGCAATGCTGTCAGCACCGTTAGGGGAGGGCAGTGAAGGGGATGGTGGTGTGGCAGTGGGAGTCGGTATGTGGTATGATGGGTGTGCAAGGGATCTGGGTGGGGAGTGCTGTAGAGATGTTGCATAGATGGTTTACCAGGTACCGTAGTTGCTGGGAGATGGAGAAGCTAGAAGAAGTGAATGCTACTTTGGAATGTCTGTGTGTGCCTTTAACCCTGTTGACCTCTACATTGGAGGTTCAAGTGACCTGGTGCTCATGAGAAACAAGCCTTGCAATTTCAACTAGGTATTGAATGATTTTCAGTAGGATGTGATACAAATTCCAATATACTGTACAAACATCATCCAGATACTAGCACAGCAAAATAACGTGCCATGCCATGCGAGTCTTTCTGCTGCTGCTATTGTGCAGCGCAGGTTAGCAGGTTAGCTGTGTGCATGCTGCGTCCAGGCTGTCCCCTCCATGGCTTGGGCATGGGGCAGCTAGGAGGGCAGGGCGTCGAGGGTGGTGCCGTGCAGGAAGTGGTGGAAGATGGTGAAGGCGGCCGCTGGGCGCCCCGTGGGGATCTGGTGGCCCGCCCCCCGCACTGTCACGAATGTGAGGCCCTTGTACCGCGTCACCCACCCCCCCACCTGGGGGAGGGGGAGGTGAGGGGGAGGGGAGGAGGAAGGGGGGGTGGGAGGGGGAGGAGGATTTTGGGGCGAATTGGGGGGGAGAAGGGAGGAAGCGGGGAGGATGGAGAGCATCGAGAGAAAGCGTGTAGGGAGATGTGAGGGCGGTGGTGCAGCACGTGGCTGTGGTGTGCGTGTGTGTGCCTGCCATGCTTGTGAGTGAGAAGCACCCCATCACTCCACCTGCTATGCTTGTGAGTGAGAAACACCGCATCACTCCACCTGCCATGCTGCAGCACCCGCACACCATGCTGCACCGTGTGTGCAGAGCAGTGGCACGCACCTGGGTGGAGGGGAGTGTCCAGGGGTGGAGAGGGGCGAGCAGCGGCAGGTTGAGCCCCGCCACCCACTGCCTCGTGCCCGTGAACGGCACCACTGAATCCGTGTCGCCCCTGCCGTGCACAGGGGTGCAGAGGGGTGCACAGGGGTGCAGGGGAGTGGTGTGTGTTTCCAAGAAAAGGAGTGAGGGCAGAGCATATGGGCTAGGTACAGTGGAGCTGGCATGAAGTGAGCAAATCATACTCCCACATCCCAAGACATTCCGCCCTGCACCCACCACCTCATTCCACCCATCAGTGCACTCACGACATGATCCAGAGGGGCACTCACGACATGAGCCAGAGGGGCACTTGCGCTGCTAGCAGGCGGTGCACCACGGGCAGCATTGAGACCTCCATGTCCGCACTGGCGTACTGCAGTGATGCACTGTGCGGGGGGGGCGAGGGAGGTAGAGAGGGAGGGGGGAGGCAAGTAAAAAGGGGGTAGGTGAGAGGGGGGTGAGAGGGGGGCATTTGAGAAGGGGAAAAGTGGGGGAAGGGGGGAGGGAAGGAGGTGCGGAGGGAGGGAGGGAGGCAGGGAGGGAGGAAGCGAGGGAGGGGGTGGGGGAGGCAGAGAGAGAGGGAGGGAGGGAGGGAGGAGTGGAAGTGAGTGGGGGAACGAGGCATGGAGAGCGAACGGTTGGTGCCTCGCACCTGCAAGGCATCCAATGGTGGGGCTGGGCGGCAGCAGCAGCGGGCATGGCATGGATGGCGCGCTGCACGGGAGCCCACTGCAGGTAGCGCTGCACCCACACGTCCATGCACGCCCTGCTCGCTGACCCCACGTCTGCTTGCCCCTCCGCCTCCTCTTCCCCGTCCACGCCACTCATTGCACCTGCTGCTCCCTCTGCTCCCCTCACTGCGCCTGTTCCCCCCTCTCTGCTCTCCCCCTCTCCTCCCCACACACTTGCGCTCTGACCCTGTATTGCCCCCACCAGCCCCCCTCCCGCCCCTCTTGCTTGTGAGGCAGGGTGTAAGGGAGAGGGTGAGGAGGAGGAGGCGGAAAGAGAGGTGGAATGCGGAGCAGAGGGGCGGGGAGAGGAGAAGGAGAAGAGGCGAGAGAGGCGAGAGCGTTGCGTGTTGAGCTGAAGGGAGCGGTAGGCGGGGGAGAGGCACACTGGTGCGTAGATGTCTGGATGGGGGAAAGAGATTGAGGAGTGGAGAGGAGTGGAGTGGTGTTAACGCAAGAGAGGGCGTGCGAAGCAGCGAGTGTTTGAGGTGGAAAATAAAAAAGGCGTGCTGGGAATGGAATGGGACGGGCGATGAGTGTTGGGCAGCGTGACAAATGCATTTGCTTGGTGAGAGCATTGAGGAGGTGGCGAGAGCAGTGAGGAGGTGGCGAGCAGAGCAGGCAATGTGGGTGGGTGGGTACCATAGGGGTCGATGCCGCTCTGTGCTTGGGGGGCGTGATGGGTTGATGGCAGTGCATGCACGATGGTAGATCCATGCACACATGCACACACAAACACACGGACGTCAACAACCCTTGTTGCTCATTTTCATGGCTAGGCACTGCCAACACTGCCAGCACTGCCAACACTGCCAGCACTGCCAACACTGCCAGCACTGCCAACACTGCCAACACTGCCAACACTTCCTTGCAGCAACAGAGAAGGCACGAAAGCATGGGACATGAGGCATGGGACATGAGGCATGGGACATGAGGCGAAGGGCTACGGCACTGACGTCAGCGGTGGCAACGGCGTTCATGACAGCGTCACATGCCATGCCGGGCCGCACCGTGTTGGGGGAGAACCCGCACTGCAGGGGGCGGGGGGCATGCAAATGCGCATGGGGCACGGGCAGGGAGAATGGGGAATGGGGCGGAAGGACACATAAGTGGTAACTTGTTCGCCATGGTGAGAGACGAGGTGAATGAAAGGCGCCCCAGCCGAATGACGAGAGAGAGTGGCAGGGCACACAGCAGGGCGGCAGGGGATGATATAGTATACCTGGGCGGCCTGGGAGAAGAGGCGCGGGGAGAGGAGCCCGTGGTCGAGGAAGAAGCGCGCGCGGGCGGAGGAGTCAATGCGCGCATGCACGAAGGGGTTGCCCAGCAGCACGCCCCCCACCCTCATGCGCACCCTCAGCGCCGGGCGCGCCTCCATCGCCACCAACGCGTCCGCCAGCTGCGGAATGTAGTGGCCTGCGCGCACAGGGGGGGGGAGAGCGAGGAGGGCGTGAGGAAGCGGAGGGGCATTCATGTCACGGCAAATTCTTACAGCGCCCGCATTGTGCCGTTCTCCTCTCCCGCGTACCTCCGTTTTCCACCTGCATACCGCCCCCCCTCACCTGCATACCTTCCCCTCTCACCTGATACCTCCCCCCATCACCTGCACACCTTCCCCCATCACCTGCATACCGCTCCCCCCCACCTGCATAACTCTCCCCCGCCAGCAGCAGCTTGCGCCCGTTGTAGCGCGGGTGGCGGCGGAGGAAGGCGCGCAGAAACTGCACCGTGTCCTGGGCTGGCACGGGGGGAACGGCGGGATGGGGATCGAGGAGGGGAGAGGGAGGAGTGAGAAAGGAGGAGGCAAAATAGAGGGACGAGCAAGAGGGGAAGGGGCAGAACGGGAATCGAAAGAAAGGGCGGGAAGAGCGGGAGAGGGGGAAGAGGGAGCGGGGAGGCGGGGGGGGACCTGTTTGGTTGTCGCCCGTGGCGAGGTCGGAGGCCGCCAGCGAGTACGAGAAGCCCGCTCCCGCAGGCGAGTCCAGGAACAACTCGTTCGCCACTGCGCGCACACAGGGGAAGGGAGGGTAAGTGTGGAGATGTAAGCACGTAACACGAGGAGCCAGCTGAATGGAATGGCTTGTGACGAATGTCAGCGAAAGGCAAAGAGGGCGAAGTGGCGAGGCGGGGTTGGGAGGAGGGGGTTACGTTTGTTCCACGAGTACGGGTTGAACTGCAGCTGCCGTCCCGCGGGGCTCGCCACTCGCCTGCACACAGCCACGCCTCACTCACAGTCAGCGCGCTCGTCAAGCGACTCGGCGCACAAGGACGAAGCGGCACATGCAAGTCACCAAGAGTGCGCCGGCAACTCACCAGGGCCCGAGCTCCTGCAGGAGGCCGTAGCCGATGGACGAGCACCCTGGCCCTGCGGATCACAGCACGGCACCACACACACCCGACGTGCGGTGAGGAACGGTCATCCCTTTCTCCGCGCAACTGTAAGCAGCCCTCCCTCACAATCCCAGCTGACCCACGCGCGTACAGGAAGCCGCGTGATCCCACGACACCTTTCATCCCCCAAATCACTTTCGCATTCGACACTATGCATCCGGCATCGCGCCCCATGTGCGCACCTCCGTTGAGCCACAGCACGAGCGGCTTCGTGAGAGGCGCCGCCACGGACTCCGTGAGCCAATAGAAGAGCCGCTTCCGCCCCGCCGGACCCACCGGTATGTACCCCGCCCACTGCCCGAACGCTGGCGCTCCGCGCGGCTGCCCCGGCAGGCTGCGGATGGCGTCGGGCGCGAAGGCGGAGGCGGAGGGGATGCGGGGGGGGAGCAGCAGTAGCAGAAGGCACGGCGCGAGGGATAGCAGGGGGAGGCGCGGACGGGTGGGGAACACGGTGGAGCGGGAGGGCGGGCGCATACTCGCAGCTGCGGTGCGGGCGGTGGGGGTGTGCATGGCTGGCAGCCGCCGCGACACCGAGCTCCGCCAGTCGCTTAGAGTCGTGCGACCTCGAAGCCAGTCGCTTGGAGTCGTGCGAGCTCGACGCCAGTCGCTTAGAGTCATGCGAGCTCAACGCCAGTCGCTTAGAGTCGTGCGACCTCAACGCCAGTCGCTTAGAGTCGTGCGAGCCCGGAAAACTGAATTCGCTTATTGGCTGGAGGATGAGGGGCATGGGAGCGTCAATATATTATACTGGCTGGAACTATGTGATGAAGGGCTCCTCCTAATTTCGTGGGTGACGGTGTGTCGATTTGGTCGTAGGGATGAAGTTGGTATGCAAGCAGGTAGGTCAGCAGCAAGTCTCGGCGCAGCGGAAATGCAATTCACCACAAGGCCATCCAAAGCGCACGCCACGCAGCGCGTCATGCCCATGTCGCTCAATTTCCAGAGGCTCTCCGTTTCGCTGTGGCAGGCTGGTTGGCACGAAATAGCGCTTACCATACTGTAGCTTCCTGACCCAAAAACCAATTTATGTAGGTTGTAGTTACGTCAAACTTTGAACCAATTTGGCTGGCCAGTCAGTACCTGCCTGGAGAGTTTCACAGCTTTGACCGTTGGTTTGGAAAATCTTGAAACTTCTTTCAAGTGGCAAAACTCTCTCAGCAACCCCGGGATCTATTTTGCAATATCCTAATTTCGACCACCGAATCCTTTTGCTCCGACAGCCACTGCCGTGTTGTCCCCTAGCTGTTGTGAAAAGCCAGTTCGGCTCTTCTTCCGCTTCGCCTTGCCGGAACTGGCCTGCATTCAGGTAACAAGCCAAACAAAGAGAACCACCAAACGGTGATGAGAACCTCAAGGCAGATGGCCGTGGCCATGACATGCAGCAAGCAACTAGCATCTTGGCACGGGGACGTACCTTGTTGACTCGGGGACGTACCTTGTTGGCTCGAAGACATACCTTGTTGGCTCGGGGACGTACCTTCTTGGCGCCGGATGTGTCGAGGCCGGGAATGGCGGGCATGGACTTGCCAGACACCATGTCAGCCACGGCCTTCATGCGCACTCGCATCTGGAACAGCTGCGAGATCAGCGCGCTCACCTGCACACCGCCAACTCCCACACCAATCAATCATGGCAAACCACACTCGGAGATGACAATAAGAAAGTGCACAGACCAAGGGCAAAGCAAAAAGCTGTTCATTGCCTCCTGCTTCACCTGCCCACCTGCTCCTGCTTGACCTGCCCACCTGCTCCTGACTTCTGCCCGAGCCTTTGGCGATGCGGCGGCGGCGCGACGGGCTCTTGGCAAGCAGCTCCGGGTCCGCACGCTCCTCTGATGCGGTGCGGTGCGGTGCGGTGCGGTGCACGGGGGAGCAGCGAGGGGCATGGGGGGGAGTGCATGCGCAAGGATAATGAGTATTAGGAAAGTGAAAGGAGGCAGCACAGCTCCAGCACGCTGGGGACACGGGTGGTCAGCATGAGACGAATGCAAGCAACGGTGCAGGCACGAGTCACAGTGAGTGATGGAGGTTAAAGGAGGGTGATGGAGGGTCAAGGAGGGTGGAGGAGGGTGGAGGAGGGTGGAGGAAGGTGGAGGAGGGTGGAGGAGGGTGGAGGAAGGTGGAGGAAGGTGGAGGAGAGTGGAGGAAGGTGGAGGAGGGTGGAGGAAGGTGGAGGGGGGTGGAGAGGGGTGGAGCGGCACTCACGGTTGGTCATGGAGCCGATCATGGACTCCATGACTTTGAGGCTCTTCTCTGCCTCGCGCACCTGCTGCGGTGTCAGCTGTCAGCGCACGCGGGGTAGGGCATTGCGTGGGCACACAGCAGTGAGGGAGGGTGGCAGAGGCAAGGTGGCTGATGAGCAAGCTGCGGGCGGGGCTGTGCCATGAGGCGAAATGAGAGGACAACGGAACCCCAGTACTGTGCTGTAGCAAGTGGGGCGAGTCAAGGCGAGAAAAAGCATACAGCAGAGGTGTTTCATTGAGGATGCAATGCAATGCAGGTGGAGGGGTGGGGGGCGGTGCGGTGCAGTGCGGTGCGGGGAGACCTTGTTCATGCCGGGGATGAGTTTGAGCATGCCGCCCATGGACCCCATGCGCGCCATCATGCGCGTCTGCTTGAGCATGTCGTTGAAGTCAAACTTGGCCTCCATAATGCGCTTCCTCACCTCCGCCTCGTCCTCCTTGTCCATCTGCCATGCCATGCCATGCATCAGCCATGCCACACCCATGCCATGCCACACCCATGCCATGCATCAGCCATGCCACACCCATGCCATGCCACACCCATGCCATGCACCATGCCACACATGCCTCACGCCACACGCCACGTGCCATGCCATGCGCCATGTGCCATGCCATGCGCCACGTGCCATGCGACACATGCCGCTTGCCATGCACCATGTGCCATGTGCCATGCGCCATGCAGCATGTACCAAATGTCATGTGCCCTACGCCAAGCCCCATGTGACATGCGGCATGTGCCATTTGCCATGCATTACGTGCCAGCCAGATTCCATGTGCCATGCGCCATCAGCCATGTGCATATGTGAGCAATGCACAAAAATTCAGAGCCAGCACATTAAGTGAGGGCTTCCAACACATCGACCACAGCACACAACACAACCACCATCCACTCACAACCCACACCCCTTCCTGCCGCTTGCCCCACTGCCCACTGCCCACTCCCCACTGCCCACCGCCTACTGCCCCACCGCCCACCGCCTACTGCCTCACTGCCCACTGCCCCGCAAGAGCATGTGTGAGCAGGGGGCACTGACCAGCTCCTGCGCCTTCTCGACGAGCGAGAGCACGTCGCCCATGCCGAGGATGCGGCTGGCCATGCGGTCCGGGTAGAACGGCTCCAGTGCGCTCATCGTCTCGCCCTCCCCCACAAACTTGATCGGCCGCCCCGACACCTGCCCACACGCACGCCCACGCCACGCACACACACGGGGAGCAGGCAGGTGGTGGGTGGGGAGGGTGCGATGAGCGCGGGAGTGAGTGGGAGGCCCAAGGAAACAAGAAGCACATGGGAAAGAGAGTGGTGCTGCAAGGCCAGTGGCAGTGCAGCCCGGGTGGGTGGGTGACTGACCTCCTTGACGCTGAGAGCAGCGCCGCCACGCGAGTCGCCGTCCACCTTGGTGAGGATGGCGCCCGTGATGCTCACCTCCGCGTTGAACGCCGCCACCAGACCTGCGGCGCCACGGGGGGGCATGCAGCACGGCGCAGCGACAGGGGAGAGGGGCAGGCAGGGGTGAGGCATGGAAGGCAGCAGGTGCAGCTGCGATGCATTTGACACTGGTTCAGGGCTGTGTCAATCGTCAACACCATCCGATTTCACGCCCGACGCTTGACGCGGCATCCTGACTCACTTGCAGCCTGGTGACTCACTTGCAGCCTGGTGACTCACTTGCAGCCTCCCTACTCACTAGCAGCCTCCTGGCCCGTCATGGCATCGACAACGAGCAGCACCTCCGTGGGGCTCACCGCCGCCTTGATGCCCCTCAGCTCCTCCATCATGCTGCGGTCTATCTGCACCCACCACCACCGCACACCACACCACAGCACACCACAGCACAGCACAGCACAGCACAGCACAAAACACCAGGACCACGCCACACCACACCATCCCACACAGCAGCAGAATCAGCAGCAGCAGCAGCGGCGGCGGCAGCCACACAGTGCGGCATACAGTCGGGAACGGTGCAGTGAGGAACGATGCAGTGAGGAACGATGCAGTGAGGCACGATGCAGTGAGGAACGCTCACCTGCAGGCGACCAGCCGTGTCGACAATCACCACATCCACGCCCGCCTTCTTGGCGGCCGCCACGCCCTGCCGTGCTATGTCCACCGGCCGTGCGTCCGTGCCCTCCGCGTATACTGGCACGCCCACCTGCCACCGCGCCCCCACCACGCGCATGCACGCAGGTGGCATGTGGGAGAGTTGAGTTGCGACGGAGAAGGGCAGCGCGAGGTGCAGCGGGGAAAAGGGCAGCACGAGGTGCAGCGGGGAGAAGAGCAATTTGGTCAAGGGGCCAGCGATAAGCCATTCACCACCCCACCCACCCACCCCCGACACCCTTTCACTGCCTTCCCCTCGTCTTGCGCGCCACGCAGCTGCTCACCTGCGCGCCCAGCGTCTGCAGCTGCTCACCTGCGCGCCCAGCGTCTGCAGCTGCTCACCTGCGCGCCCAGCGTCTGCAGCTGCTCACCTGCGCGCCCAGCGTCTGCAGCTGCTCACCTGCGCGCCCAGCGTCTGCAGCTGCTCACCTGCGCGCCCAGCGTCTGCAGCTGCTCACCTGCGCGCCCAGCGTCTGCAGCTGCTCACCTGCGCGCCCAGCGTCTGCAGCTGCTCACCTGCGCGCCCAGCGTCTGCAGCTGCTCACCTGCGCGCCCAGCGTCTGCAGCTGCTCACCTGCGCGCCCAGCGTCTGCAGCTTCTCACCTGCGCGCCCAGCGTCTGCAGCTGCTCACCTGCGCGCCCAGCGTCTGCAGCTGCTCACCTGCGCGCCCAGCGTCTGCAGCTGCTCACCTGCGCGCCCAGCGTCTGCAGCTGCTCACCTGCGCGCCCAGCGTCTGCAGCTGCTCACCTGCGCGCCCAGCGTCTGCAGCTGCTCACCTGCGCGCCCAGCGTCTGCAGCTGCTCACCTGCGCGCCCAGCGTCTGCAGCTGCTCACCTGCGCGCCCAGCGTCTGCAGCTGCTCGATGGCGGCGGGGCGGTACACATCCGTGGCCACCATCATGCTCGTCTTGCCCTGCCCGCACCCCAGGGCAAGGGGGAGCGGCGGGGGTTGGGGGGAGAGGGGTAGTGGGGCGGGACATGGTGGAGTAAGTCCATGCAGCGAGGCACAAGCGCACATGAGCGCATGCACGCAAGCACACGGGTGCACACTGGGAGCATCCGAGCACATGAGCACACGAGCACATGAGGCAGGCCAACTGCACCTTTCATCTCGCTGCAGCAAGACATACAAGCCCCGTCTCACTCCCTTTGCCTCGCTTCTCCATGCCCCTGCGCGCGGCCTCCCCCATCCCCCCCTTCCCCCTTCGCGCACCTTCTTCTTGAGGAAGAGAGCGAGCTTGCCGCACGCGGTGGTCTTGCCGACGCCCTGCAGCCCCGCCATGAGCACCACGGTGGGGCCCTTGCCGTCGGGCGCGTACGCGATCTCCGCCACGTTGCCGCCCATGAGCGCCACGAGCTGGTCGTTCACCACCTTGACCAGCTGCTGCTCCGGCCGCACGCCGCGGATCACCTCCACGCCCACCGCCCTCTCCGTCACCTCGCGCACAAACCGCCGCACCACCGGCAGACTCACCTGCAGCACCAGGAACGGCGTGCGGATCACGGGAGAATTGCGAAAGGGAGACGATGGGGGGGAAGAGTGCATGGGGATGCGCGTCGGTTCTGCCGTGGAGCCATGGCGTGCGCGCAATGTGTGGAGCCATGGCGTGCGCATATCAATCTATCAGCGCAACTCACATCGGCCTCCAGCAGCGCGCGCCGAATGTCTCGCATCGGCTCCTTGATGTTGTCGCGCGTCAGCTTGTCTGCGATCGTGGCGGGGAGAAGGGAGGAGGAGGAGGGGGGAAGGGGGGGTGGCTGGACCAGCGGCTAGCGCGCAGGAAAGGAGGGGACGCACGGCGAATTGATTGAAACACGTGCATGAACGTGTCATTGGGAATGGGAGAAGCAGGTCAGCGTGCTCCGGACACGCGTTCCGATGGCGCACCTTGCGCGCGCAGCTTGGTCCACGCCTGCTCCAGGCTCGAGCTCAGCTGGTCGAACACCGCCGCGCGCACCACCACCCGCCCCGACGACCCTGCACGCCGTGCCGCGCGCCGCGCGCTGCTCCCCACCCTGCAGCCCAGGAGGCCCGACGACTCCGCGAACGCGGTGGACGTGCTGGTGGCGAACAGCGACGATCGCAGAGGCGGTTGGGCGACTGCTCTCAGAGTCGCACGTGAGGTTGCTGCGACGGATGCGAGGTGTGCATGTGATGTGAGCGACGTTGCGAGCTGCTGCGAGGGAAGCGCCGCGGCCATGGTGGGATGAGGGGCGGCACGCAGGCTCGTCATCCTAACTCCCGTGACGCGTGTTGGGTGGGAAGTGACGGGCGACGCGACGACTATCCTGCTGTGGACGAAAATCCTCGAGTTGAAGGGATTGGAGGGCGAGAGGGTGACGATGAGGGAAGTATATCATCAACTGCCTATTTGACAAAAAGCAAAACTCCACCGCTGCTGGAACCTCCTTTATAAATCAGTAGCAGTTTCAACGCTTTTGCTGTACTCAAAATTCGTCGTATAGTTGTTATGAGTGCAATTGAGCAAAGATTGCACAATCAAAGCAATTGAATACAATAGTGAAGGCATGAACGGATTGTTGAACAGCGAAACAGGATGGTAACGGAAGCAAATGATCACAAGATTTCCCTCATCGGAAGAGAGCAAAATAACAACAGCGGAAGAGCGCGGACGTGGGAGTGATGCAAGAACAAATGGGACCAATCAAATGGGTGGGGAAGCCGCACTTGTGCATAAAAACGCTCAGAACGAGCGCTTCCACCCTCAAAACGCGGAAGGATCCGCACATGTGCAGGAAGTGCAGCGATCGCTCTTCATTCGCGAGCGCCGATGACCGATGATGCTCGCAACTCTCCCACGCCCCTGCTGGCTTGGTAATAGGCCCAGACAAGCGCAGCCACGTGACCCGGCGCAAGAATAACGCTCGGAGCGAGCGCTTCCACCCCCAAAACGCGGAAGGATCCGCACATGTGCAGGAAGTGCAGCGGGCGCTCTTCATTCGCGAGCGCCGATGACCAATGATGCTCGCAACCCTCCCATGCCCTTGTTGGCTTGGTAATAGGCCCAGACAAGCCCAGCCACGTGACGCGGCGGAAGAAAAACGCTCGGAACGAGTGCTTCCAGCCCCAAAATGCGGAAGGATCCGCACATGTGCAGGAAGTGCAGCGGGCGCTCTTCATTCGCGAGCGCCGATGACCGATGATGCTCATAACCCTCCCACGCCCGTGCTGGCTTGCTAATAGGCCCAGACAAGCGCATCCACGTGACCCGGCGGAAGAAAGACGCTCGGAACGACCACTTCCAGCCCCAGAACGCGGAAGGATCTGCACATGTGCAGGAAGTGCAGCGGGCGCTTTTCATTCGCGAGCGCCGATGACCGATGATGCTCGCAACCCTCCCACGCCCTTGCTGGCTTAGTAATAGGCCCAGGCAAGCGCAGCCACGTGACCCGGCAGAAGAAAAACGCTCGGAATGAGCGCTTCCACCCCTAAAACGCGGAAGGATCCGCACATGTGCAGGAAGTGCAGCGGGAGCTCTTCATTCGCGAGCGCCGATAACCGATGATGCTCGCAACCCTCCCACGCCCTTGCTGGCTTGATAATAGGCCCAGACAAGCGCAGCCACGTGACCCGGCGGAAGAAACATGCTCGGAACGAGCGCTTCCAGCCCCAAAATGCGGAAGGATCCGCATATGTGCAGGAAGTGCAGCGGGCGCTCTTCATTCGCGAGCGCCGATGACCGATGATGCTCGCAACCCTTCCACGCCCTTGCTGACTTGGTAATAGGACCAGACAAGCGCAACCTCGTGACCTGGCGGAAGAAAAACGCTCGGAACGAGCGCTTCCAGCCCCAAAACGCCGAAGGATCCGCACACGTGCAGGAAGTGCAGCGGACGCATTTCATTCGCGAACGCCGATGACCGATGATGCTCGCAACACTCCCACACCATTGCTGGCTTGGTAATAGGCCCAGACAAGCGCAGCCACGTGATCTGGCGGAAGAAAAACGCTCGGAACGAGCGATTCCAGCCCCAAAATGCAGAAGGATCCGCACACGTGCAGGAAGTGCAGCGGGCGCTCTTCATTCGCGAGCGCCGATGGCCGATGATGCTCGCAACCCTCCCACGCCCTTGCTGGCTTGGTAATAGGACAAGACAAACGCAGCCACGTGACCCGGCGGAAGAAAAACGCTCGGAACGAGCGCTTCCAGCCCCAAAACGCGGAAGGATTTGCACATGTGCAGGAAGTGCAGCGGGCGCTCTTCATTCGCGAGCGCCGATGACCGATGATGCTCGCAACTTTCCCACGCCCTTGCTGGCTGGGTAATAAAACCAGACAAGCGCACCCAGGTGACCCGGCAGAAGAAATACGCTCGGAACGAGCGCTTCCACCCCCAAAACGTGGAAGGATCCGCACACGTGCGGGAAGCGCAGCGGGCGCTCTACATTCGCGAGCGCCGATGACCGATGATGCTCGCAACCCTCCCACGCCCTTGCTGGTGGAAATAGGACCAGACAAGCGCAGCCACGTGACCCGGCGGAAGAAAGACGCTCGGAACGAGCGCTTCCACCCCCAAAACGCGGAAGCATCCGCACACGTGCAGGAAGTGCAGCGGGCGCTCTTCATTCGCGAGCGCCGATGACCGATGATGCTCGCAACCCTCCCACACCCTTGCTGGCTTGGTAATAGGCCCTGACAAGCGCAGCCACGTGACCCGGCGGAAGAAAGACGCTCGGAAGGAGCGCTTCCAGCCCCAAAACGCGGAAGGATCCGCACATGTGCAGGAAGTGCAGCGGGCGCTCATCATTCGCGAGCGCCGATGACCGATGATGCTCACAAACCTCCCACGCCCTTGCTGGCTTGGTAATAGGACCAAACAAGCGCAGCTACATGACCCGGCGGAAGAAAAACGCTCGGAACGAGCGCGACCACCCCCAAAACGCAGAAGGATCCGCACATGTGCAAGAAGTGCAACGGGCGCTCTTCATTTGCGAGCGCCGATGACCGAGGATGCTCGCAACCCTCCCACGCCCTTGCTGGCTTGGTAAAAGGCCCAGACAAGCGCAGCCACGTGACCCGGCGGAAGAAACACGCTCGGAACGAGCGCGACCACCCCCAAAACGCAGAAGGATCCGCACATGTGCAGGAAGTGCAGCGGGCGCTCTTCATTCGCGAGCGCCGATGACCGATGATGCTCGCAACCCTCCCACGCCCTTGCTGACTTGGTAGTAGGTCCAGACAAGCGCACCCATGTGACCCGGCGGAAGAAAGACGCTCGGAACGAGCGCTTCCACCCCCAAACGCGGAAGGATCCGCACATGTGCAGGAAGTGCAGCGGGCGCTCTTCATTCGCAAGCGCCGATTACCGATGATGCTCACAACCCTCTCACGCCCTTGCTGGCTTGGTAATAAGCCCAGACAAGCGCAGCCACGTGACCCGACGGAAGAAAGACGCTCGGAACGAGCGCTTCCAGCCCCAAAACGCGGAAGGATCCGCACATGTGCAAGAAGTGCAGCGGGCGCTCTTCATTCGCGAGCGCCGATGACCGATGATGCTCACAACCCTCCCACGCCCTTGCTGGCTAGGTAATAGGCCCAGACAAGCGCAGCCACGTGTCCCGGCGGAAGAAAGACGCTCGAAACGAGCGCTTCCAGCCCCAAAACGCGGAAGGATCCGCACATGTGCAAGAAGTGCAGCGGGCGCTCTTCATTCGCGAGCGCCGATGACCGAGGATGCTCGCAACCCTCCCACGCCCTTGCTGGCTTGGTAATAGGCCCAGACAAGCGCAGCCACGTGACCCGGCGGAAGAAACACGCTCGAAACGAGCGCTTCCAGCCCCAAATCGCGGAAGGATCCGCACATGTGCAAGAAGTGCAGCGGGCGCTCTTCATTCGCGAGCGCCGATGACCGAGGATGCTCGCAACCCTCCCACGCCCTTGCTGGCTTGGTAATAGGCCCAGACAAGCGCAGCCACGTGACCCGGCGGAAGAAACACGCTCGAAACGAGCGCTTCCAGCCCCAAATCGCGGAAGGATCCGCACATGTGCAGGAAGTGCAGCGGGCGCTCTTCATTCGCGAGTGCCGATGACCGAGGATGCTCGCAACCCTCCCACGCCCTTGCTGGCTTGGTAATAGGCCCAGACAAGCGCAGCCACGTGACCCGACGGAAGAAACACGTTCGGAACGAGCGCTGCCACCCCCAAATCGCGGAAGGATCCGCACATGTGCAGGAAGTGCAGCGGGCGCTCTTCATTTGCGAGCGCCGATGACCGAGGATGCTTGCAACCCTCCTACGCCCTTGCTGGCTTGGTAAAAGGCCCAGACAAGCGCAGCCACGTGACTGGCGGAAGAAACACGCTCGGAACGAGCGCTGCCACCCCCAAAACGCGGAAGGATCCGCACATGTGCAGGAAGTGCAGCGGGCGCTCTTCATTCGCGAGCGCCGATGACCGATGATGCTCCCAACCCTCCCACGCCCTTGCTGGCTTGGTAATAGGACCAGAATAGCGCAGCCACGTGACCCGGCGGAAGAAAGACGCTCGGAACGAGCGCTTCCAGCCCCAGAACGCGGGAGGATCCGCACATGTGCAGGAAGTGCAGCGGGCGCTCTTCATTTGCGAGCGCCGATGACCGATGATGCTCGCAACCCTCCCACGCCCTTGCTGGCTTGGTAATAGGCCCGGACAAGCGCAGCCACGTGACCCGGCGGAAGAAAGACGCTCGGAACGAGCGCTTCCAGCCCCAGAACGCGGGAGGATCCGCACATGTGCAGGAAGTGCAGCGGGCGCTTTTCATTTGCGAGCGCCGATGACCGATGATGCTCGCAACCCTCCCACGCCCTTGCTGGCTTGGTAATAGGCCCGGACAAGCGCAGCCACGTGACCCGGCGGAAGAAAGATGCTCGGAACGAGCGCTTCCAGCCCCAGAACGCGGAAGGATCCGCACATGTGCAGGAAGTGCAGCGGGCGCTCTTCATTCGCGAGCGCCGATGACCGATGATGCTCGCAACCTTCCCACGCCCTTGCTGGCTTGGTAATAGGCCCAGACAAGCGCAAACACGTGACCCGACGGAAGAAAGACGCTCGGAACGAGCGCTTCCAGCCCCAAAACGCGGAAGGATCCGCACATGTGCAGGAAGTGCAGCGGGCGCTCTTCATTCGCGAGCGCCGATGACCGATGACGCTCGCAACCCTCCCACGCCATTGCTGGCTTGGTAATAGGCCCTGACAAGCGCAACCACGTGACCCGGCGGAAGAAAAACGCTCGGAACG